TGATTCACTTTCTGACTTGATCTGGTCTCGGATGTTGACCTTTGTTTGGGACTAGAGCACCCAATCTGATTAGCTTCACAGGATTAGCCTTGGTGTTACATTGATAGGCCTACCTAACTTCTTTTTTTTTATTATTTTATTTAAAAAGTTTTACAAATACATTTTCCCCCCGGTTTCCCCTCCCCAAACCCTCCCTAACCCTCCCCTCCCCCCATGACTTCCTCAAGATGAAATCCAAATCAAAATCACATGTTATAATACTATAACCCCTAACTATTCCACCCCCTGTGTGCTATTCATTTCTTCTAAATAAATAGCATTCAGTTATTCTATCCCTATATAATACATTCAGCTAAAAGCTATCTGATGTTTCCTAGTTTGATATTTATTCTGTACATAATCTATCCACTTCTTCCACTCCCATACATAAGTCTCTTGAGTCCGATCTTTTAGATATGCTGAAATCTTCGCCATCTCTGCAAAGCTGGCCATCTTCAAAATCCATTCTTCAACAGTGGGCGTAGCATCATTTTTCCAATATTGACCTATCAATAATCTAGCTGCTGTCACCATATACAATATCAGCTTTGTTTCACCCAGTGTAAAACCCTTAACTATACCCAATAAGAACAATTGTGGAGAGAATTGGAGTTTTTTCTTCAAAACATTTTGCATAACCCACCAAATTTTTATCCAAAAAGCCTTCACTTTCTTGCAGGTCCACCATATATGATAATATGTAGCATCCAAACAATCACATCTCCAACATTTTGGTTGAACATTAGGATACATGCATGACAATTTCTTAGGATCTAAATGCCACCTGTAAAACATTTTATAAAAATTTTCCCTCAAATTCTGCGACTGTGTAAATTTGACATTCTGGCCCCATATTTTTTCCCATGTTTCCAACATAACTGGTTCTGCAAAATTTTGCGCACACTTTATCATACAATCTTTAACCAATTCATTTTCCGAATCTCTTTCTAACAAAACATTATAAACCCTCTTAATACGCATTGGGCCTTTCTCTTTTATATGTCTAACCAATTCTTTTTTTTTTTTTTTATTGAAAAAGTTTTCAAATACAAATTTTTCCCCCCTTTTTTTCCCCTCTCCCTCCCCCTCCCTAACCCCCCCTCCCCACCCATCCCCCCCTGTGACTTCTTCATAACAAAAAAAAACCTAATTCATAACAGATTACTTACTCCCTCCTCTAGATATTGACCTTTACTTACTAAAAATATTATTAATATTATAACATCCCCCTTTATCCATACATATCAAAAAAGAGAAAAGAAAGGGAAAAAAAGACATTATACTATGACATTATAGAATAACTTCTCCACTTTAAAACTATATGATAAGTCCTACTTTAACATTTAATCTTCTATATATATTACTATAACATTTCAAAGCGGCCTTCCCCATAAAATCTAGTTTAACATTTATTCCACTCTATCCATTTCCTCCATTCCCCTAAATATAACACTTAAAAATCCCTTTTCTTAGACTAATCAATCTACTAACTAGCTTATTCACCCACTATCATGCAAAATTGCCATACACAACATTTCTTAACATCTGATTCACTGCCCACACTACTTAAAAATATATGTCTATATTTTCCATTATATCTAAATAAAAAAAAAAGAAAAGACAATGACTTTAAATTTATAATCCATATAGTATCTTCTTTGAGGTCTTTCCACTGGATTGGTAGAACCAACATCCATAATCGGGTAACATAGCTTACTGGTGCAACAGTTTATTCAGGATCTTCAATCATATCTGCCCCCATCAGTAGTAAATATCTTCTTATATGTATAAAAGTAAAAACAACCACCCGAGTGACATTATAATTATATTCCATATAGTAATAATTGTGGGTTTCATCAGGATTATTAATTCCCATCATCGTAGTGGGTAACAACCCGATCTTCTGCATGCCCCAGCATAATTCTCTTGCCTTGTGATTCAAGATAATATAATATGTTTATCAACACAAAAAGAAATTCCAAAATGGATAATTCAAATCCATCAGTTTAAGGCTCGTTTCACGTCCCCAGATTACGGCCATGCAGAGATCTGCCACAAACCTCAGGATGATATTAACCAATACGTCGCCTCTTCTGTGTTTACACATAATCGTTCATATTTTAAAATCACTGGCTTCACTGTTGCCTAATTTAGAAATTTCTGTTTTTATGCCACCTATTTCTTTTTTTCTTTTCTTTTTGTGGGTTTGGTTTCCATCCTGGTTCCCTTTCTACAAAATGTGTATCATCTGGTCGGTTTTTATTCTGCTTTGTAGATTGGTCTTGTTGGTTTTGCTTTTGTATCTCATATTTCTTTTTTATCCCTTGTATATCCCCTAATTGGTTTCCATGTTTATCCTTGCCTTGATAAGTCATCACATTAAGATTAGATGCCTCTTCTCTCAAATTTGTAGATAGTCCAGCTGGGGTATCCAATAAATCCAAAGGCAATTCATCTGGTACAGTCTCTGTAATTCGATATTTTACCTTTATTTCCGACTCCTTCTGCTTATCCTGTATTATACCTGGAGATGTTAAGTTCATTTTCAACCTATTTTGATAAAATTCTTCCGCTCTTTCAACAGTATTTAGCTGATATCTTTCTCCTTGGTATCTAAATATAATACCAACTGGGGCGTCCCACCTGTAGGAGATATTTCTCTTTTTTAACTCATTCACCAGAAAACCAAATTTCTTCCTTTCCATCAATATCTTAGGTGGGAGTTCCTTGAAAATCCAAATCTTTTTTCCATACAATTGCAAATTAGAATTGAAGGAATTTTGAACGATATTCCTAATTTCCTTATCTGTAAAATAAATCACCACATCTCTAGGCAATTGCCTTTGCTTAGCAATCCAGGAGTTGATTCGATAAACTCTGTCGATCCTACAAAACACTTCATCAGGTTGAACCTTTAGAATCCCAGCTAGAAATTCAGAAGATATTTTCCTTAAATCATCTCTATTATTTTCCTGCAAACCTCTTAATCTTATCGCATATTCTGTGAAATTATATTGTACCATTAAAATCTCTTTTTCAATCTTCTGTTGCAGATTTTCTGCATTACCATACTTTTGATCAGCATCCATTTTAGGTTTTTCTTCTAAGCTATTATCCTGAGTGTTTGTCAAATCATTTTCAATTTTTTGAATTCTATTGTCCAATTTATCTTGAATTTCTTCCATTTTAGACTCTAGTACATTAGTATTTGTGTCCAACTGTATCATAAATCCTGTAAAACCATTAACCACTTTTGAGAATTTTTTCTCCAAAAAATCAAACTTAGATTTCACCAATTCTTTAATTTCCTGCTTAAATTTTTCAAATTGCTGATTCACAATCTCCTCCCTTCTTTCAATCTCCTCTATAAAAAATTCTATATTAAAATCAGGTTTCTGAGACTGAAGAATTAAGACTTGTTCCTTTAAGTTGTTGGTGGGGGAATCCCCCCCTTCTTGTTTAACTGACTTTATGAGTCTCAGTGCCATGTTTCCGCCCAGGCAGGCTTTGTTAAAAAAAAAGCAAGAAAGAAAAAAAAAAAAAAAAGGACTTCTTTCCAATCAACAACAATATCAGGTCTCCAAGGGAAAAAAAAGAGAAAAAGACACAGGAGCGAAGTTTTGTCTACAAATGTAGCCGGTGGTATTTATTCCGCTACATTGTAGTAATAGAAAACGGAAGGACTTTCCCTTTCAGCCTCTCCTCCAGCCAACGCCATTTTAAAAGGCTTTTTTTTTTTCCTCTTTCTTTTCCTCTTCTCTCTTAAGTAATTTTTTTTTTAAAAAAATCAGTAAAATACTTGCGGTTCAATATTACAGCTCCAGCTCACATTTTCTTTGAGTAGTCTGTTAAATTTGCAGGCTTGCTTTTGACGCCTGGCTCTGCATCAGCAGAGGTCTCCCAAAGCCCGGAGCGGCGGCTGGGGATACGGGGCATCTCATCCGCTCCGTCCCAAAAGTAAAAAAAAAACTTTTGGGACTCCGCAGAGAGTTCTACCCACCCCTGCCGGCTCTATCTCCGTTTCCTCATGGAAACGGAGTTTTTTCGAGCCGCCATTCCGTTGTGAAGGCGGCTCTAACAGGCGATGGAAGCTGACGATCCCAAAGGAACGTCTGGCAGCGACAAACAGCAACCCGGAAGTCCATGTCTAACCAATTCTTCTTTGTGCATCATTATTATTATTATTATTATTTTAAATTTGATTTATATGCCGCCCTTCTCCGGAGACTCAGGGCGGCTTACAATGCGTTAAGCAGTTATACCAGTTTTTTGAGGCCTACCTAACTTCTAATAAGTTAGAAGTTAATTTACATTATTCATGCATATGAGGCACAGGAGCTGTGGGTTTTTTTAGTCTTTTGTGCATTCTCACAGTCTTGCCTATGCCACCCAAGCACTTAGGTCTGCATCTGAGTGCTTATGAAGGCATCAAAGTAGTTTCCAATGGAGAATCAATTGCAGAGAAGCATCCTGCTCTGACTGTGGATTATTAAGAAGCAGCTTCTTAACAGGGAAGATTGAGACTAGAACCACGGACCCTTCATTGGTGGTGGTGCTCAAACAAAAGCTCTGCAGGCCGGAGGCCGACGTTTGGATCCCTGAACTCCATGGCTTCCGTGTCTCTTTCTAGCTCTGATTCTTAATAAACCTTAATAAGGTTTTGCAGATTGATCACACCACATCATGTGACTGCTCTCAGAATTCAGCTCTGAACTTTTGCATCTCCTGGCTTCAGAGGAAACTGCTCTCACTCTTTAGGGTCACATCAGAAATGAATGACTCGCCTGAGGCTTCTGATATTTTTTACCTGATGTCAAATTTGGTTTCCCGAAGATTAGCCGTCACTTCCTGGTGGCTGAACATTTCCCCTTTGGGAAAGCATCAGAGATGCTGTAGGAGCTTCTATGGGCCATCTTTGTATCACAGATCCCTCCAATCTTTCCTTCCTCTTCTCTCACCAGATGAATTTGATGCTTACATCATTGTATCTTTCGTCAATGCCACCCTAGTCCTGTCTATTGGAGAAACTGTGGAGGAAGTGACTGACTCAGGGTTCCTTGGTACCACACCCACCTTGTCCTGCTCACTGCTGGGAGATGATGCCTTGGTGCAGGTAAGGCCACATCTTAACAGCTGCATTGCCCTTTTATCCATGAAGTGATTCTATTCACCACGAGGGAGGGAGGGCAGTTATGTGATTTTTGGGGCCCTCTTTTTTTTTTTTTTCTTCTCTCCATCATTGCTGGAGAGTGATGGAATCCATGGGGGACCTTGAGGAAAAGGGAGAAGAGAGGCTGCCTAGGAAACATACAGACAGGGGGCAGGAGCCCCAGTGGCTTAACAGCCAGAGGGAGGATCCCCCTGAATGGAGCAAACAATTCAATTTAAGGATGGGAAATTCAGTCTTGCTAGATTGTATTAATTTAGCTCATCTTGTCACATCAGACAAGGCTGATATCTAGGCCTTACCATCTTACGATGGTAAAAACAGCAGTGTGATGTTCTGGCTGTTTTGGTGGGTATATTACTTCGAAGTGGATGAGTTTTAGGGTTGGATTAACAGCTGCTGGCTTGCAACCAGGGAAGAAAGTAGAATAGTGCTGGTATGATCAGTGTAAATGAATTTCAGGCATCTGCCAGAGCACAGAGTTACTCTGCTTGTTAGCTGTGTTTATAATTTGGGTAATACAGATTTCTTAGGATGTACAAAACTCTACCATCCCAGGGAACCTGCCCTTAACTGCTCTCTCTTCCAAAAAATTCACTTCTAAAAAAGGAACTAACTGTCCCTGGAATGGCCAAATTGATACTGTCCTGAAAAATACTACCCCTTATTGGGAAGTTTTCCTTGCTCATAAATGCTTCTGAAAATGTCTTTTTGTTATATCCTTGTTTAAAAAAGGGTAAATATTCAGGTTTGTGTTCATGGGCTTATCTCAAATTGCTGGTTACTGAGCTGGTCCTCCTTCCTATATTACTTGGAATGGAAAGTTTAATGATCACCAATTGTAAGAGAATTGCCACGTTCTTTGCTAACCTTCTTTGTGGTGGGCAAGCAATGACTGATGACTGATGCAGCCTTTTCAGCACCTCTTTTGTTATATCCCTGCAGGTTTATCCTGATGGTATCAGGCACATAAGAGCAGATAAACGAGTTAATGAATGGAAAACACCTGGGAAAAAAACCATTGTCAAATGCGCCGTGAATCAGAGACAAGTGGTGATCGCACTGACTGGAGGAGAGCTGGTTTACTTCGAGATGGATCCAGTATGTGAGCATAGAAAGTAGATTTGGGCTGGGTTGTAAAGGAGGATCAGAACCAAACCAGCAGGTTTAGGGCTCTGAGCCTCTCGGCTCAGTCAGGACTGGGATGTTTTGTTGTTAGTCATTGCGAGCGGAAATTATCCTCTTCCAAATGCCATGTACTTCTCAAGATGGCCATCGGCTAGCAGCCTTCGCAGAAGCTCAGCGGTGGCCTTTCTTACAATTGCCCGCTTTCTTAAGATGGACTGCTTGAAAATATGGGTCACCCTTGACTATAATGGAGGCTGCTACTATGGTCGGCGTTTCTAGAGTCATAAAGCAGGTCACCCACACGACTGATCTGATTTTACAACCATTTTTTGTGATGGTCATGCTATGGTTATTAAGCAAACCCATTGTTCACTATGGGCCAATTTTGTCAAAAATAAAGTGGCTGCGGGACCCTGCAAATGGATGTAATGCCAAGCAGCCAAAACATCAGTGAGAGTCCTTGTCAGTTTAGCCCCTTTCCATTTCATTGGCTGACTTGCCTCTTCTCGTCTCTTTGCTTCCTAGTCTGGGCAGCTGAATGAATACACAGAAAGGAAGGAGATGTCAGCCGATGTTGTGTGCATGAGTTTGGCGAACGTTCCACCTGGAGAGCAGCGCTCTCGTTTCCTTGCAGTTGGGCTCGTAGACAACACTGTACGGATCATTTCCCTTGATCCCTCAGTAAGTGGCTGGCTTGAAGTATTTATCTACATTGCTGTCTTATTGTTCTAAGACTGGTGCTGCATGCTATGCTTTTTCATTTTCTGTGGATGAGAATATGCTGAGTGTGGCATCTGCTGAAGATGAGTGCTTAAAAACAAGAAGCATCTTGGAAATGCTGCAAGAGCTGTTGACCCCCCGCCCCCCAAATTTCTTTCAGTTTAGCCCTCTTTCACTAAATGCCTGGCATGCCATTTTTTTTTCCCCAGCTTCTGCTTCTGGGCATTCTGGAAGAAAGACACATTTAAGGATTCTGAAACATTAGTAAAAGAACGTTGCTTCATGCTTTCATGGACGAAGTCCATGAAAAAATTAAAAATATTACTTGAGTGGAAAACCTCTCCTCTTGTGCTCTAGATGGCTCTGAACACCTGTTAATGCAGCAGGGCTCACCTGGAATGAGCAGTTAGCTTCTCCTGCCGTGCTCCTGAGTAATGGTGCATCCTTTGTTCTCCTCAGGACTGTCTGCAGCCTCTGAGCATGCAGGCTCTCCCTGCACAGCCAGAATCCTTGTGCATCGTGGAAATGGGTGGCGCTGAGAAGCAAGATGAGCTGGGAGAACGGAGCTCCATTGGGTTTTTGTACCTGAACATTGGCTTACAGGTGAGAAACCCCCACGGATTGAGCTCTTCCCTTTGGTTGGGCTTCTGTGCTCCAGTCGTGGCCCTCAGCCTTTCCACATCCGCCAGCAGTCAGTCCAGAAGAGAAAACTCTTGTCAGTACATTCTTCTTTGTTTCTCATCCCTTCATATTGCCAGATTTTATTTTATGCCAAGTACTTTTACGATTAAACAAAATAGGAAAAATGCCAAGAAAAGTCATCTTCATATCTTGAATGCCATAGAGCGCAGGTGTCGGACTTGCGGTGTCATGTTGCCCGTCATGTGACGTTTCGCGACATTTTTCCCATTCGCGGAGGTGGGGTAGGCATGACCTGCACGTGACGCATCCAGCCCGTTGGCCACCAGTTTGACACCCCCCCCCGCCGCCATAAAGGTCTTCCCCAGGTGAGATTTTTTTTCAAAGGATGAGAAACTATCACTAAGATGCAGGCAGCGTCTTGCAAAATTTGCCCGTCTCCCTCCAAGACATGAGCAGAAGATTTGGCTGGGTTGGGTAGACATTGAAGCGACAGAGAGAGAAGAGAGTCCTTGGTGTGGATTGGGCCACAGGGGCTCAGGGCAGGGGTGAAAGGCTATCGGTTTGGGCCGGTTCGCCTGAAACGGTAGTAAAAAAAAAAAAAAAAGTTCCGATGATTGCGCGTCGCTCAGCTGATCTTTGGAACTTTTTAAAAAAAACTTTTTAAGTATTTTTTTTACTGCTGGTTCTCTGGAACCAGTAGTTAAAATTGCTTTAAAAAGTGAAAAAGGAAAAGGAAATCCAAAAGCGTGTGTTTGGTGTGGAGGGCACATGAGCGTGCGGCATGCATCTGGTGCGCACCCCGTGTATGCGCGGGCAGCCAACTGGTGGTGACCAGCCGAGGATTTCCCCACTGACACAGTGGTTAGAGTGCAGCACTGCAGGCTGCTACTGCTTGCTGCCAGCTGCCTGCATTTTGGCAGTTCAGATCTTACCAGGCTCCAGGTTGACTCAGGCTTCCATCCTTCCGAGGTGGGTCAAATGAGGACCCAGATTGTTGGGGGCAAGAGGCTGACCTCTTTTACAGTGCTTTACAATGCTTTGCGGTATATAAGTCTAAGTGCTATTGCTCTTGGGAAAGAAGAAGAGACCCCCTTGAACTCTCCAAATGAAATGGCTGGCCATAACACTGCTGCTCTCTGCCCTCCCTCCCCTTCTTCTATGGTGGAAAAGAGTTCCACTGCTTCACTGAAAAGATTCTGCTGTTGGCTGCATTTCAAAACACCTCATTTTTTAACTTGGAAAAGTTAGAAGTGCTTGTATACTTTAGGAGCGGTGCTGTGCTCAAGTCAAGAGAGGAGCTTGAAATGATAAATGCTTCTCTCCTTTGGGCTCTCTGTGTTTGCCATCTAGAATGGGGTGCTCCTCCGAACTGTCCTTGATCCTGTCACCGGTGATCTGTCTGACACAAGGACCAGGTACCTTGGGTCTCGCCCTGTGAAGCTGTTCAGAGTCCGGATGCAAGGCCAGGAAGCGGTGAGTGCAATGCCATGGAGCGCATGGGGTCGGCCTCAAAGCCGGGGGGAAGAAGAGAAAACTAACACGAGAATATTAATGGGGATTTTTAAAGAGGCATAGCGAGACATACCGTGTTTCCTCAAAAATATGACACGTCCTGAAAATAAGGTCAAGCCTGATTTTTGGGGTGGGCGTAAATATACGCTGCCCCCCGAAAATAAGCCCAAGTGAAGGGGTGGGCATGGCAGCACAGGAGGCAGCCCTTCTCTTCTCTAGTGGAAGGGAAGCTTGGCACCTTAATTGCAGCCCGCGAATCAGCTGAGCCAGCAAGGGCCAGGAGCTGCCTCTCTTATCTCTCTGCGGAGGCCTCCCAGTGCAATGCTCTGTGCAGGATTGCAAGACTGAAGGCTTCGGAGGGAGCATTTTTGGGATGTGTGTCTGTGCAGAGCTCCCCAAGGATAGAACGATCAGCAGGGAAATAGGGGGGATTTTCCTGCTGATTGGAGCAAAGCGAAGCCTTGCAATCCTCCGCAGGGAAGGCGGAGTTTTGCTCCGAAGCTGTGGCAGAGCATTGCACTCCTCAGAGTCAGAATGAGAGGCAGCTCCTGGCCCGTGCTGGCTCAGCTGATGGAGGCTTCCTCGTGGGGTGCGATTGAACTTCCAACCCCAACGGATCCGGTGGGCGCAAGCTACCCCAACCCAGAAAAGGGAAGGAGCTGATGGGGCTGTGGGAAGTTCTGGGAGTTGAAATCCACAAGTCTTTAAATGGCCAAACGGCTGCCCATGCTGCTGCTGGCCTCTTCGCCCTCCTGGCAGCACTGCGTTCGGCAGCGTTGCAGGACTGCTCCTGCCTGGCCGGGTTGAATCATCCCAGATTGAAAACCTCCGAAAACGTTCTGAGCGCCACCAGCCTGCCAGGGCCCCTTTGGGAGCGGCTGCCTGTGTTGCCTCGGCCACTGCCGCCTTCGGGCTGCTATTCGGTGCTGCAGACACTGGACTTTCCGTACATCTACGCTGAGCCCGACGGTCTTCGGACCCTGGTGGGCGCTGCAGCTCTCTTACTGGCTGTGCGAGGTGGCACAGGCAGCACGGCTCCACCCGTGACACCAGCAGCATGGGACCTGCCGCAGCCGAGAAGTGTCCCAGCAGCAACTGGGCCAGCAGACCAGGCACTGAAGCTCTGCCACTGCCACAGGGGTGGGTGGGGGGGCGGGGGCGGAGAGATCTCCTTTCCGGCTGTAGCACAGCCAGGGTCTAAAGAAGGCCAGGGGGGGGGGGGGGGGGGGTGAAGGGGGAGTGAGAGGGAAGGTGAGGAGCTGCACGTCAACTTGGCGGGAAGTGGGAAAGTTTTTGCGGGCGCAGCACACGGCTCTGTCTTCCTGGCTGAGGGGCGATGGAGCAAACTGTGCACAGACTTTTGCCCATCTCTTTCTGAGCACGGCGCTTATGCTTGTTGGGCTGCTTCCTGAAGCTGGTAGCCAGCCACTTTGCTTTTTCCCCATGGGGCGCTCGTGGGAGGCACTGGTAGCAATCCCAACCCTCTGCCCACTCCATCCCTCTGTCTCTCAGCTTGTCTGCAGCTGCACCAAACAAGCAACACCACAGAGTGTCTGGATGCCTCTGCCTCCATCTGCTGCAGGTGCGACCGTGCAAGCCTCCTGCAAGGCAGCTGGGATCGCTTCTTTCCCTCCCCAGTCTCTTTCCCTTCCATTGCTGCTTCTGGGGAGCAGACAGCATGACGGAGAGAGCAGGGCCAGTGGTAGCATTTTAAAAAAGTAAGATCTCCTCGAAAATAAGCCCAAGTGCTTATTTTGAAGCCCAAAAGAAAATAAGACCCTGTCTTATTTTCAGGGAAACACGGTAGTTTATGAAGCTTTATTTTTTTCTCAAATACAGAATAAAAGTAGCAGCTGTGTTTGTAATTGTGCATACAGCTGGCAGGAATATTGTTAGAGAGATGAGTTTATCTGTAAAAGTTTATGTAGAAAAATAAGCTTTGTTTGAATCTCTTTGATATTTGATGTTCATGTTGCTTGTTCTTGAAAATTAAGTGCTGGGGATTTTAAGACATTTTGGACAGGAAGTCCCAAGCTGTGACTGAAATTGGGACCGGAAACTACTGTATGTAATACAGTCATAAAGCAAAAAATTACATCAGCCGTTGTGGTTGTTAAGTGAATTGTGTGTGATTGCTAAGTGTGATGTCACATGACCGTGACTTCTCGCCAGCTTCCCGTTAACTTTGCTTTTCAGAAGCTGACCTGAAGGTCACAAATGGCAGTCCTATAACTATGGGACATTGTGACCAGCCATAACTCGTTCAGCTCCGTTATAACTTTGAGCTTGCTAAATGAGTCGTTGCTAATTAAGGACTACTTGTCACTTGGTAGCAACTTCAGAAACCTGCAAATGCAGGTCAGAAAATGTGAAGATACATTGGCAGTTTTTGTCAGGCACAAGAAATCAGGAGCCAGGCTTAGCTCCAAAATGAGTACAGATTTATTCCATTTATTCTTCTAAAGAAGAATCTGAACTACTGGCGGTCAAGACAAATTGGTGGTAAATAAAAGTCACTGGAACTCAAGGAGGGTTTAGGGCTTAGATCTGTTGTGGGTGCAAAGGGACTCATGACGCACCTGACCCCTCCCTCGGGCTCAGCCTAGTCACCTACATTTTGCCAGCGTCCTTCAGGTAGGGCAGAGCTGGTCAGTGCCAAAGGTTTCAAATACTCACCTTTTCCCCTCATGTGCTGCTGGCCTTTAAGTCCTATGCAATAGTCCAGGAGATTGAAAGCCCTCAGGAAGTCTTTCCCAACCTGCTTCCACTTGGAGAATGTCGAAACTGCCAAGTTGTTGGTGAACGAAGCTGCTTGCAAACCCTGACCTGCCATCAGTGCTTGATGAAATAAGCATGTTTCATCAGAAACATTTCTGGTGCTCAACCTGGGCAACCCCAAGTCAGTTACCAGGATGTCAGCAGGATCTTGGATCTGCCCGGCGGTACTTCCTCACACGGAAGAAGCCCCAGGTAGAAGTCGGCCACACTTTCTTCCTGCTCTCACCCCGCTCCAGGTGCTGGCGATGTCCAGCCGCTCTTGGCTGAGCTACTCCTACCAGTCCCGCTTCCACCTCACCCCGCTCTCCTACGAGACCCTGGAGTTTGCCTCTGGCTTCGCCTCAGAGCAGTGCCCGGAGGGGATTGTCGCCATTTCCACCAACACCCTGAGGTTTGTGCAGATGGGGCAGAGCAGGGGAAATAGGGATCTTTAGGCTGACCAGGTGCCCCTCCCTCCTGGGGAAAGAGGGCATTGGGGCTGGACGGAGGGGGGGGGTGGAAACGATTCTTAAGATTAGGGAGTCTTTCACCTGAAGCAGCTTGTCTCACCAAAACCTTTGGGTTTGTTTTGGTCTTTCTCATGCATTTAACGACGGGAGAAGAGCTGAGTGTGAAGCAGCATCACCAGCTGGATCTATTTTTCAGGATGAGATTTTGAAAACCATAAGGGTTGGTGGGGTTTTTTGTCAAAGAAGCGAGCAGAGGCAAACATGTTCCCCACCCACCTTTGACAGCTCTGGTGAGGCTGGGGCTTCTTCCCCTGGGCGGCTTATGCAGGCAGCAGTAACATCTGGCTTTTGGCTCCCACAGGATTTTGGCACTGGAGAAGCTTGGCGCAGTCTTCAACCAAGTTGCCTTCCCGTTACAATACACGCCCCGCAAGTTTGTGATCCACCCCGAGAGCAGCAATCTGATCATCATCGAGACTGACCACAATGCTTACACTGAGGCGACCAAAGCCCAGCGGAAGCAGCAGATGGCCGAGGTAGCTGGAGGAGCCCAATGCCTCTCTGCCCCTTTCTTCTCTGTCCGGCTTTTGCTTGGCTCTCTGCCCCGTCTAAGAAGAGGAGCACACAGGATGGGTCTGGTCACGGTGCTCAGCATCGGAGAGGGACAACCGTTGCAGTGCAGGAAGACACAAGCCCAGGGACTTGCTCGGGGGGGGGGGGGGGGCAAACGATTCCCTTCTCCCTGGAGCTGGATCGAGAGAATCCAGGATGGATGGGCAGAACCCAGCCTTGGGTTTGATGGGAGAACCCAGAAGGGATCCGTCCGGGGCCTGCTGCCTCCCTGCCTCTTCTAGAGGCGCTGTCAGTCCCTTTGGGGCTGCCTTCCTTTTCCTTTCTTGACTTCCCTTTCTTGGGAGTCTGACGTGTGCTGGCTGCTGAAGGGAGTGGACATGGGGGGGAGACTTCTGGCCAGCCAGCAAGGGAGCTAATCCTCCTCCCTCTCTCTGGAGGTCAGGAATCCTGATCTTTGGGGCTGCGGAACACCTTCTAAGAAAGCCTTCAGATCCCCCTAAACTTAGAAACACCCAGGATGTGGCTCCTTGGGTTTTCCCTTTGGAAGGCTTTCTGACTCCTGGGTCAGAAAAGGTGCAGCCGGTCAGAAGTGAGTGACCAGCAGCTCAGCCTGGCCTGCTCTGCTCTGCTCTGCTCTGCGGCCTGAGACTGTAGCGGTCTTTTTCCTGGACCAGAGTCAGGCCTAGGCCAGAGGTCTTTGGGCTGGGCATTCCCTCCATTCTCCTCTCTCTACATCACAGGAAATGGTGGAAGCCGCAGGGGAAGATGAGAGGGAACTTGCTGCAGAGATGGCTGCTGCTTTCCTAAATGAGAACCTTCCGGAGTCCATTTTTGGGGCTCCCAAAGCAGGAAACGGGCAGTGGGCCTCGGTGGTCAGGGTGATGAACCCCATCCAGGGAAACACTTTGGACCTTGTGCAGCTGGAGCAGAACGAGGCCGCCTTCAGGTAACTGCAGCTCCTCTTGATTACCTTGCGCTAGGTGGCTTAACTCCCCCCCCCCCGTCACAAAGTCTGTGCTTGCCCTTTGACAGCCTGAGCTCTGATGAAGCCAGAAGACACAAGATACTTTCTTTTGGCTTTTATGAAAGTGGAAATTGAGGTGCCCCCCCCCCCTTCCTGGGCCTTCTCTCCTCCCTTCCCAAAACCCAGGGCTCTGACCCAGTTGTTCCTGTGCTTGTCCGCAGTGTGGCCGTGTGCCGCTTTGCCAACACGGGCGATGACTGGCATGTCTTGGTGGGCGTGGCCAAAGACCTCATTCTGAACCCGCGTTCGGTTGCCGGAGGGTTTGTCTACACTTACAAGCTGGTGAATAATGGTGAGAAGCTCGAGTTCCTGCACAAGGTGAGCTCCTTGCAGCATCTTGGGGGTGCTTCTCACAGAAAGCAAAAGGTGGGGCAGAGCTCAAACTGGAGCAGGGGGTCTCCAACTTTGGCAACTTTTAAGACTAGCTTAAAAGCCTAGCTTGGGCTTCAGCTTCTCTTCCTTTGCATCCAGACACCGGTGGAGGAGGTACCCGCAGCTATTGCCCCCTTCCAAGGGAGGGTGCTGATTGGTGTGGGGAAGCTCCTGCGAGTCTACGATTTGGGCAAGAAGAAGCTGCTCCGGAAGTGTGAGAATAAGGTACGGCAGTTTCCCTGCCAGAAGAGCTGGCACTTTTCCAGCCACAGAGTCCACTGGTAGTAAGGGGCCTGTGGTTCCAGGCTGGCCTCCTGCGGGAGTTTTGGGTTCCCTCAATGTTCCCTTATGAGGAGTTGCGGAGGGTGGTTTTATCTTCTTTTTCTGTCCCCATGAAGGTCCCTCTTGGCTGTCGACAGTGGAAAGTCTGGTCTTGCCGCTGAAAGTCCTAAGAGTTTAGGATTTGCAACATGTAGTTCACACGTTTAGAATGCTGGGAAGGGATCCCTGTAGCCACACCTGTCTCAGATACCTTAAGTGCCAGTAAATGTGCCACTGCCTGGAGCTGGGGGAGAGGGGCAGAAGTGGATTGGTTTCCTGCCAGCCTTTGTGGGCAATTTCTGGAAACAGTGTCTCCCCCCCCCCCCCCCCCCAATCTCGGCCACCTTCTGGACGCATGAAGAGCAAGGCTTCTGCTTGGGGGTTTGCCAGGCCACACTGCTTTGTGTGTGCATTCGTGCGTAGACTTTCCAGCCTTGGGTAGAGCTGCAGAGCAGGCAGGCCTTGTTCCTGCCTGGAGGAGCTGAGAGGGACAGTTCTTTATCCTGTAGCCTTGTTTGCATCCTTCCTGACCAGGGTGGCATGCAAGCCTGCCTCTTTCTTGGTTGCCTCTTCTCCTTCCCAAAACACAGTGGCGCCGGCAAGGCTCCCATTTCGCCCTAGTTGTCCAAAGCCCAGTCCTGTTTTGCAGCTCTTGGATTCCTGCCAGAATTGAGGGGGTTCAGGATGCTTGTCCAGTTCTCATGGAAATCCAGCAGGCTTTCCTATTATTGCTTTCCTATTATTCCATTTTGACTACTAGCTGTGAACTCAGGCCAGAGTGAGGCGTGGGTTTCAGTTGTGGCCTTCTTATGCCCAGATTCCGTCTCTGGATTCACACGTCTTTTTCTGAACTGCTTTTCCATACAGCACATTGCCAACTCCATCTGTGGGATTCAGACAGTGGGGCACAGAGTGATTGTGTCTGATGTCCAGGAAAGCTTCATCTGGGTTCGATACAAGAGAAATGAAAACCAGCTGATCATTTTTGCAGACGACACCCATCCCCGCTGGGTCACCACTGCCTGCCTCCTGGACTACGACACAGTGGCTGGAGCTGACAAGTTTGGCAACATCTGTGTGGTGAGCTGGACTGACTTGGAAAAGAGTCCACTGATAATTTAGATCTTAGCAGTAAAATCCAGGTGGCGCTGGAGCGCGTGGCCTGCAAGGTGGAGGAGGCAGTCTCACCCTTTGGAGTGGGCAGCTTTGAAACCCGCATATCAGTTTGAATTAGTAATATTTTTCTATTGATTTCTGGTTGAGGGAATCGCTTGTTATTGCAACAGAAAATGTCCTAGGCAAGGCCTCCCTTCTCAGCCAGAAGGGAAGGGAATGCTTGATATTGAAAATGAAGCAGGCAGTTGAGAGGGGACTTTGAAGTAGTAGAAGGCTCCCTCAGGGTCAGGTTTACCCCTCGCTGCTCTCAGAAGGACTCCAGAGCGCTGAGTTCATCCTGCCCTCTGCTTAACAGGGTTGGAGAAAAGCCACTTTTGATTACCACTTTTGATTCCCTAAAGTCCCAGGGACTCAACTTTGCCTAATTGTGACCCACAGGTTAAAAACTACTATTGTTCTTGGCGATAACAGCTTGGCTTAGGGTCTCCGTGCTGCTGTTTACTCTCCTGATTTTAGGCTCCCAGCTTTTCCCAGGGGGTAGGGGGGGTGGGGGCTGCTCTGTTGAGAATCATTTGCAAGCAGTGTGGTGACTCCTTCCCGTGCAGGTGAGGCTGCCACCCAACACGAATGATGAGGTCGATGAGGACCCGACCGGCAACAAGGCTCTGTGGGACAGGGGCCTCCTCAACGGCGCATCCCAAAAAGTAGGTCCTTTCTAGGGGGTGGCTTTATTAGGAACCCCCCCCCCCCCCCCCCCCCCCCCGATTATTTGTAAGAAAACTTGAGAAATCCATTCTGGCTGACTTCATGGTTTTTATGCACTAGAGCAAATGCAATTTCATCTTAGGCATGTTTTTATTTATTTACTAATTTTATTTATTTATTAAATTTATGACATCCATTTCTCTATCCAAGTGACCTGACGGCTTACCACCCAATAAAAAAATAAGTATGTAGAAACATAAAAATATTAGAATTAACAGGGACCAGGACCAGTTTTAGTTCCTAAAATTAGGAACCAAGTTCCAGAGTGGTACAGTTCTTTCTGAGTCTGTGAGCCTAACAGCGAAGACTCTCCTAGAAAGGAAAGATAGGGGGCTTGAGGAGCTCCTGGAGCTCTGTTAGAGACCTAAGAAAGGAGAATCCGTGGTCCCTCAAGCGAGTCTCAACTCCACTGTTCAACAGGCCTGACTTTTTCTGATCCATCAAAATCTACTTTCTTGTCATTTAAACTTTATTTTTCTCCTTTCGAAATTGTCTATCTCCCTCAAAGAGAGACTGTTTTTCGTCTTCAGGAACAGCTCTGAACAATTCTCTCCGGTCTTCTGCATGATATTTGAAAACTGCTTTCCTGACTGCAATATTCTTTTGGCAAAACATTCTTAACCGTTCTGGGCTGCACTTATCGCTTTGATCAATCTGATATCCTAGGAAAATAAATTCTCACTTTTCTTTTCTTTTTTTATTGAAAGAGTTTTAAAACAAACACAATTTCCCCACAACCCCTCCTCCCAACCCCCCTCCCCCTCCCCAACTTCCCAGAGCAGAACACAAGGTATTTCTATTGATCTTTAACAATAAACTAAATTGCATAACCAATCATTAAACTAACACCCCCTAAAAAAAAAATTCTTAACCCCCCAAATATAAAATCCTATTTCTTAAACATAATACTTCTAATATCACTTATATAACGCTTATACAAATAAAAGAGATCATTCATAAGCTATTTGATATTTTTTGGTCTGATACTTATTTTGTATATAATCTACTTTTATTTCTAATTTTTATATTTGTCCTCTAACCATCGATAAAATGTTTCCCATATCGCATAATAACCAGTTTGTTCTTTCTCTTTAATCGCCAGTGATAAGGAAATATTAGAATGTGCAGAAATGAATAGTCATTTCTGCACATTCTAATATTTTCCTTATTATATTCTCCTCTGTAGGAATCTCTTCACTTCTCTAACTTTCTCCCATACTAACAATAAGGCATTTCTTATATAATGTCTGTGAAAGTAACCATGTATCTTCCCATACCATAAAAAGGCATGCCATCCCAATTGCAAATCATGTCTCTCCAGTGTCAAGAATCTTGTATTTCTCAGTATGATCCATTCTTTCATCCATGTGAACACTGCTGCCTGGTAATATAATTCCCAGTTTGGTAATCCAAAACCTCCTCTACTTCTTGCATCCTGTAACATTTTAAAATTAATTCTTGCTTTTTCCCCCTGCCAAATATTTTTTGCTATTGTTTTATTTAGATCTTCAAAATATTTTTTTCTCCAATCTTATCGGAACTGTTTGAAATAAATATAATAACCTTCATTAGCTCTTTTTTTTGTTTTTCTGTAATATTCTTCACTAAATCTTAGTCTTTTCTTTATTTATTTTCAGCCCTGCCACTTCACCATACCCTTCTATTCTTTTTAACAGTTTTAGCCCTATTTCTTGCAGATCTTCTAAAATAAAATAAATTACAAGCGTTGGTTGTAATATAAATTATAACCAACACTTGTAATTTATATTCTTCCTTTTTTATTTCCATACCTCTTATCTCCTTGTCCTGTCTAATGTTTCTGTTTAATACTTCTAACATCAACACGAATAATAATGGGGACAGAGGACATCCCTGCCTTGTGCCCTTCATTGTTTTAACCTTTCCCATCATGTCACCTTTGCTGTTTGTTTATGGTATATTGCTTTGGCCTCCCTTTCCTCGTCACCTGGAGAGGCTGGGCCTCTTTGGGGCTGGCATAGAGCCCCTTTTGTGTCCTCTTGCCATGCTACCTTCTTAACATCCTCCTACGTCAGGATACTTCTAAGATGTTTCTGTCCTTCCCATCTTTATTCTTTATTCTGTCTGCAGAGTTGATAACTTTGTTTTGTCCATGTCATTCATAAATGTGTTCAATGGCACAGCATTGATGCCTCACTCAAATCTTTCTTCAACTTGCTGGGTTCAGCCAATTGTTCAGCCAATTCTGTATGCAAGGGGCTCTTTCCAGATTCTCAGAGGCTAGAGGAGCTACTCTGGAGACTTAACTTATGCCAGAAGATGGCACTTCCCTTCAGTTGCCTCTCCATCCTTATGTTCTTCAGTTCAGGTCACTTTAAGCAGCGTTCCCCTCGGGGAGGAGGCTGAAGCAAAGAAGCGCTGCATCTTTTGGCCTCAACAGCTTCTAGCAGCAGGCCCACCTGGCCCTTCCTTTTGTTTTTTTTTACTGACATGACCAAAAATCTGTTTTTCCTACTTCTGGTAAACTGAGGTGTTGGGAATTTCAGCCTCATCCAGCTTCACTCTTAAGCATGTTCTTAGTCACAAGTGGCGTCATAAAGTCTTGTTTCTTACCTGGAAAGATTCGTCTTCCTGAAGGGCAGGGAGGGCAAGGGAGGAGGAGGCCTCCAGCATTGTCTGAATCCCCATCAATGTGACTTCCAGGCTGAGGTGATCATGAACTACCACGTAGGAGAAACCGTGCTGTCTCTGCAGAAGACGACCCTTATCCCCGGAGGTTCCGAGTCCCTTGTTTATACAACCTTGTCTGGAGGCATTGGCATCCTGGTTCCGTTTACATCACACGAGGTGAGAAATGAATGCTGTACTGGAAGAGTTGGTTCTCTTTGTCTTCCTGGTTGATGATGCCATCGGACAGATGCCTGAGTTACGAAAGACTTTGAATTGAGCCTGAAGGGAGGAGGGCCTTGCTCTCCACTCCTTACCCTTCTGTCAGGGTCAATGTTACTGGAATAAATGGCACATAAGTAGCATCTTGGAATTTTTTCTGACCCACGTTCCAACCACCTTGACTTACAAATTTACTCATCAAACTTGAAGTGAAAGTTGGAGTCCATCCAGAGTGATGGCATTCTTGAGTGCCTCTTGCCCAGTTGACCCCCAAGTTTGCTCAGGCCTCTTGCAGTCCCTCACCCTAAGCATAAATTGGAGGGATGCCTCTGATCGTGTATATGGTGGAGATCCGGCAGTTCTATTGACCCGCCCTCCATTCTACAGTTGAAGCTTCAGCTTGTTTGCAGGGACACCAGCCATCACGCTTGACCAAAAATTGGTACACTCCTATCTGTAATGGTTGTCCATTTCCAACGAACACACAGCTTTGGGAAGGATACACATGGAGTAGGGAAGGTAGAAGAGGACACCCGCTAGCCTGCCAGATCTGTGAATCAACCCTGGCAGTCAGTGAGGATGGCAGCTGTCACAGTCATATTGCCCTGGCATCCAGTATCAGTCAGCTACTTCCTTCTTGCAGAGCTGCACTCTTTGTGCTGTTTGTCCTATGACATTGTTCTCCTTGACCATCCTCTGATTCTTTCAGGATCATGACTTCTTCCAGCATGTTGAGATGCACCTCCGCTCTGAGCACCCGCCTCTCTGTGGTCGAGACCACCTCAGCTTCCGCTCCTATTACTTCCCCGTTAAGGTAGGTCTGGTCTCTTCAGCCTCATCTGGGCTTGTTGGACAACTCTTGCTCTGCCTCTCCAAAGCAGCTTGAAGTCACCCCCTTCCTGAGCAGCATTCTGTGTCATTAGAAATCGCCTTTTCCTGTCTTGTTCTCTGCCCTTCCTTCCTCTGCCCCTTTCAGGCGGGTCCTGAAAGGGTCAGAGCCTCTCAGATATTGGCCTCCTCCTGGCCTCCTCCCATCCTTTGTAAGATGGCAATCTTTAATATACACTGCTCAAAAAAATAAAGGGAACACAAGCAGAAGACATCCGAGATCTGAATGAATGAAATAGCCTTATTAAATGCTTTGTTTGGAACATACAGTAGTTTTGTGTTCCCTTTAGTTGTTTGAGCAGTGTATAAACTACTGTATGTAACGAACAAAGTAATAAAAAAAGAAATAAGGCTATTTTATTCATTCAGATCTCAGATGTCTTCTGCTTGTGTTCCCTTTATTTTTTTGAGCAGTATATCTTAAATTTTAAGACAATTTGATGAGATGAGATGGAATTTGTTGGTTTTAATCTTGGCAGTTTAAAAATGTTTAGAGGAAGCAAATAAATGACTTTCCTTCCTGCCCCTGGAGGCTTGTGTAGTCAAGAGATGCCCGATGAGGCAAAAGAAAAGGGGAGGCACCTCCTGTTTTAGGCCCTTCATGTGCTCCAGCATGTTTTTATTCTAGTCTCTGGGAGCTTCTCAGCCTGAGAAGTGGCGGTAAAGAGCAAGAAAAGTGCTGAGCCCTATCTGCCTTCCCAGAGGGGAGCTGTTCCTCGGTCAGCCGTTCCTGCAGATCTCTTGTGGGGTCCTTAGTGACATCAGTGTGTTTTTGGGCTGGCACCTGGCTGGAAGATTGCTCTCCAGTGACAGCTTTAAAAAAAAAAATAGATTGGATTTATTTTTTTAAGAGTTATTTTTTTAAGGTTTCTGTAAATTGAGTTTAAAAATTGGCTCTTGGGCAGTCGGGTAACTTTGCATCTGTTGTGCCCATGCTGGCTGTGAATTGACTTTTTGCTGCAACTGTTTTTGTATGTGCAAAAGCTGTTTCCCTGGGACTGAAACCTCCGCCTTCTTTTTCCTATTAGAATGTTATTGATGGGGACCTCTGCGAACAGTTCAATTCCATGGAGCCCAACAAGCAGAAGAACGTGTCTGAAGAACTGGACCGGACTCCTCCAGAAGTCTCAAAGAAACTAGAGGACATCCGTACGCGCTATGCTTTCTGAGCTGAGCTGTTGGAGGACTTGATACGGACTTATTTTGAAGATGTGTTGAAAGAAACTTCCTTGCCTGTCCCCATTTTGTTTGCCCCTGTTTCTATCCTGGAGCTCAGTAGGTCATCGAACCCTCCAAGGGATAATGCCCCATAAGCCCCATAAGCCCATTTCAGCGGAACTGCGATGCCACAACCCCCACCCCAAATCCCGGCCAGTGGGTAGCTTCACCAATGAGCTGACCTGATTGGTCTCATCCATTCTGAGTAAGAAGGAAAGCCTCGGGGAGTGATGGGGGCTTGAAGCTACAACTGTTTTCCCTCCTAATCAGAATTTTGGAAAAATTGTCTACTTGGTCACCCTACTGTTTCTATTGTTTTTAACTTTTATGTTGTAAATAGTTTTGCATCAAATTAGTATTTTGCTCGTTGGAGAGATGGTGGTTACAATCTTAAAGAATTAAAAAAAATACTGAGCTTGCTGTCTAGTGTCCACGTGCATAGATTTAAGGAAATCCTTCTGGCAGAGCTAGTGGGGCGATCCATCCTTTGTGGGGATGAGTTGCATTTCAGCCTTTTTTTCATAGCTAAGAAACATTTTGAGGATCAGATCCATACTTATTTGACCAAAGATAACACGAGGTTTCTTTAGACCTCCATTTCTGCTAATGGATTAAGCCAAATTACACCTGTGATGTGTGTTGGCTCAGTGGATTGGTCCTCCTAGAAGTTTTCCTTTAAAAAGTAAAATTGTGAAGTGCTTCAGATTGGAAAATGAGTGAAGGCAGGGATCTCTTTTCCTGCTGCAGTGGCAAAAGGAGGCATCCTTTTGCTTTCAAATCCGAAGTTCTGCACCTCAATTCTTTGGCTGTCAAGGATTTGGCTGTTAGTATACAGATTGTAAAAGTGCTTGTGCAGAGGGGAGATGCTGTCTATTCTAGTACAAGCAGTCCTTAACTGGAACTAGAGTTACAAGGAACTACAAGGAGGAGGCCATGTAATTACATGGAAGTGCATGGAAGAAAAAAATTTCCGGAGACCAATTTCTGCTTGACAAAAGTGTGACACCCAACAACTTGGCTTGAAAGTGGAGTAGTGGAGTAGAGCACCAGGGGGAGATGTTCACTTTCACTTCCCAGGGGAAGGCCATCCACATACCTGGAATTCATTAGTTGGAATTGCAGAAATAGCTGGGAGAGAATGAAATGTATGTCATCTCAGGACCAAAATGGGCCTGAGGAACTGAAGGGATTCCTTGGGCTAAATTGGTTTCACATGCCCACAAACCTTAGAGCTGTCTCTTGAGCTATGAAAAGTGGGGTAACTCTCTTGTTTCTCAAATCTAGAAAAGCTTGGGCTATATATAAACTCAGGGTCACATGTACTGTATTTTTCAGAGTATAAAACGCACCTTTCCCCCCCCCCAAAAAAAGAGGGTGAAAATCTGGGCGTGACTTATACACCGAATGTTGCATCAGCCATACCTGGGGGGAGGGGGGAGGGAGTTGCTGCGATAGTGGCAATGTTGGCAACAGGCTGCTGATTGGCGGTATTCTGGGATCCAATCTCAAAGGTGAAAATTGAACGGTTCTAGGGAACCGTTTGCTATAAATTGAGAATTGCCGCCTTGCTGCCAGATCTGCTTCTGACCTGCCGCCAACCCGCCACTGCCTGAGTTGCTGTCTGAGCCGCCCTTCCCCCATCACCACCGCTCACCTGGAGAAGCTGCCTGAGTTGCCCCCTTCCCCATTGCCACCGCACGCCTGGAGAAGCTGCCTGAGCGCCCCCCCAATCGCTGGCGCTCGCCTGGAGAAGTCACCTGAGCTGCCCCCTTCCCCATTGCCCCGCATGCCTGGAGAAGCTGCCTGCCTGAATGCCCCCCCCCATTGCCACCGCTCATCGCTGCTGCCCCATCGCTGCCTGACAAGTTAGCACCTGTTTGTAAATGGTTAGGGGTGCAAGGGTCTTCAAACTTGACAGCTTGTGGACTTTTTTTTTTTATTGAAAAGTTTTACAGAAAAAAAGAATTTTCTTCCCCCCCATATTCCCCCCACCCTTTCCCTCCCCTCATCCCCCCCTCCCCCCCCAGACTTCCCAGAGCAAAATACAAGGTATTTCAATACAATCATAATTTTGTCTGAGATCAGACAGACAGACAGCTTGTGGACTTATGTCCCAGAATTCCTGAGCTAATATGACTGGAGGAGAAATTCTGGGAGTTGCCTTAATTCTGGGACAAGTCTTAAAGCTGTCAAGTTTGAAGAGCCCTGGGTTAGGGGTTAAGGTTAGGTTAGCACTTGTTTGTAAAGGGTTAGGGTTAAGGTTAGGGTTAGGGAGGAAACAAACCTTAAATGTCCTAAAATTCTCAGCTTGCTATTGTTACCGTAGTTTAGGGCGGGGGCATAATGTGTGCGTATGAATGTATGGAGATGGTTTCAGCTACAGTGCTCTGCATTGTTATAAAGAACAAAAAAATGTCAAAGCCAAAAAGGCAAGCATACAAAATCTCTTTCAAGCTGGAAATCGTGAAATATGCTGAGGGGCATGGAAACAGTGCAGCGGAGAAACATTTTGGACCACCTCCAACTGAAAAAATGATAGGGAGAGTGGAGGAAACAGGTGGATCAGCTGCAAAAGGTAAAGGATATAAGCAAGCACAGCTTTCGTGGGCTTCCTAAAAAGTGGCCAGTTAGAGGAGGGACTGTATCACAGGTTACCGGAGCAGTGGCTTCGCAGTCACCACAAAAATGGTATGTAGCTATGTAGCATTGCTACACAGAAAGGCATTCAGGATTTTACTGGATCACCATCGTGGTGCTTCAGATTTATGAGGCCTTGCTATGTGCTCCAAAACTAGAATTGCGCAAAGAACGCCAAGAGTATGAATGTAAGATTCTTTTCATATTTTTGTGATAGACTCCAGGAAGAAAAATAATTTTGAAATTGGCCAGATTGGGAATATCCACTAACTTTTGATGTGCCATCCATGGCATAGGACCTGGGTATTTGCCTTCTGCCGCCGATAGCCTCCCACCGACCAGTACGCTCCCACAGAGAGGGACTCCTCAGGGTGCCGTCAGCCAGGCAATGTCGGCTGGCGACCCCCAGGGGGGAGGGCCTTCTCTGTGGCAGCTCCTGCCCTCTGGAACGATTTGCCCCCGGAGATAAGGAGGATATCGGATCTCCGGGTCTTTCACCGTGTCCTGAAAACTTCTCTTTTCCATCAAGCAGGGCTGGCTTGAACACCCCCCTCCTTTTTTTTTTTTTTTAGTTTTTAATCTGTCAATGGGTTTTAATTCGAATTGTTTTAAATTTGGGCCAAAGTATGTAATTCTTTTAATAATTTTAAATTTTGTATTGGTATGTGTTTTAGTTCTGGCTGTGCACCGCCCTGAGTCCACTAGAAGGGCGGTATACAAATTGAATAAAATGAATAAATAAAAATAGGACTGTTGATGTGAAAGGCGCCAAAAACATAACAGGGAAAACCTCAGGACATGAGAAAACACATTACACGGTTGTGTTGTCCTGCTGTGCAAACGGCACCAAATTGCCACCAATGTTAATATTCAAAAGGAAAACCTTCCCAAAAGAAGTGATTCAAAGAGGTGTTGTGCATGTCCATGAGAAAGGATGGATGAACATGGATTGAAAAAACTGTGGTCCAAACGTCCTGGAGGGCTTCTGAAAAAACCAGCTTTATTAGTGCTCGACCAGTTTGGAACACATATTAGTGAAACCACAAAGAAAAGATTCAAAGAAGTGAAGACTCATCTAGCTGCAATTCCTGCGGGTCTTACCAGCCAGTTGTAACCTTTTGATGTTTCCAACAAGCCATTCAAAGTCTACATGCAAGAAGTGGAACAAATGGATGGCTACTGGTAATCATCATCTGACACCCACTGGACTAAGGAGGAGGCCCACTATCACTCAAGTTTGTGAATGGGTGAAAATTAGAGGAGTGCTTGAACCTCATTTGTTAATGTGATGACGATTCTGAATATACCACTGTTGACTTTACATGGTTGTAAAAATTATTCTGCTCTACTGGTATTTTATTAAATAATATATTACTACACTGTTTGGTTCAGAATACTTTTTTCCTTGTTTTCCTCCTCTAAAATCTAGGTGTGTCTTATAGTCTGGTGCATCTTATACCATGAAAAATACAGTATTTAACAAATAACAACAGTTGAAAGGGACCTTGGAAGTCTTATAGTCCAACCCACTGCTCAGGCAGGAAGCCATATACTATTCTAGACAGAGGGAAGGAAGGTACAGTCAGGTCCAGAAATATTGGGACATCGACACAATTCTAACATCTTTGTCTCTATACACCACCACAATGGAGTTGGAATGAAACAAACACAATGTGCTTTAACTGGAGATTGTCAACTTTAATTTGACTGTCAGTTGCAGTAGAGGCCTGGCAGACCATCACCAGGGATGAAACCCAGCGGCTGGTGATGTCTATGTGTTCCAGACTTCAGGCTGTGATTGACTGCAAAGGATTTGCAACCAAGTATTAAGAATGGAAAGTTTGATTTATGATTATTATTCTGTCCCATTACTTTTGGTTTCTTAACAAGTGGGAGGCACATATACAAACTGCTGTAAGTCCTACACCGTTCACCTGAGTTGGATGTACATACCCTCAAATTAAAGCTGACAGTCTGCAGTTAACGCACATTGTGTTTGTTTCATTCCAACTCCATTGTGGTGGTGTATAGAGCCAAAGATGTTAGAATTGTGTCGATGTCCCAATATTTCTGGACCTGACTGTAGTTTCAACCCAGTGCAACAGCATAACAGGTCAGGAAAGGATCTGTGCTGCAGAGGTGGCTTGGTCAACAAACTGGACCAAGACTGGACAGTTGTCACACAAATGCTTTTGGCAACTTCATCACAAGGCTGGAAGTGAAGGCTCCCATTCTGGATGTAGGCGCAGCCATGACCACCCAATATCTCGTATCGATTGGGGTTGAAGTTCTGTCCAGCCATCTAAGAATATCTGCCGTGCTGCAAAATGTAGAGATGAGTTTTGCTGGGTTCAAGATAAACCTCTACATTTTTTTTAAACCAGGAAGGGCAGAATAAAGAGGAACGATTTGCATTAATTACAGTACAACTTTTATTAATACTGAAATCTTCACAGTGCATTTGTTACCTGTAACAGTGACTATTTTGAATGAAAAAAACCACATAACTAAATTGGAAGAAAGGGCGTATGTGGAGAAGCTTGGACTGTTAGAAGAAAAATAAATTATGGGATGGAAAGGAAGAACAAGTTAACAGCACCAGGACAGTTACATCAGCTGAAAGACATTTTAGAAGGTTTGTTTCTTACTGTACAAAACAAATTGGAAAAGCAAAAAGCAACAATCTCACATAGTCACGTTTGATGTGTGTGGGAACCACAGGAGGGCTGACGTGTTAAAATGAAAGTTATCACAAGAGCCAAAGAGTGAGGGGCCTACAATGATGTGGCGCACAGAGACACAGGTAGAACTGGGTGGGGAGGAAACGGCTATGTACAAAGTGAGGCCTTCCTCTTGGGGTGCTGGAGCCGTCGTGCTGCCCCCCCAAAGGCCTTTGGGGGGGACGGGGGACGACAGGCTGCCTCTCCATTGCCAAGGAAGCCCCCAGCCCTTGTGAGCCCACTGCATAACCTCTCGTGCCCTTGAGCGCTTTGTCCCTCAGAACAGGGCCTTGTCAAACTTAATGTTCTCCAGAGATGTAAACTGGAAGTCCCAACACCAGGTAGGGAAAACCAGTGCCTTAAAACCTTCTACCCTACATGCTTAAATTTGATGTGTGCTTCTTGAAATAACTCAAGTTTTCTAAATATACTTTCCCCCCCACTGTGAACATACTGGAATCCTTATTGGTGCAACAGCAGCAAACATTCAGTTTCAATTTTGCTTTCTTTGCTTCATTCTCATGTGCTACATGTGCATGTTGACCTCTGGATGCCACCTGTACCAGACATGCCACCTGCCCAGCATCAAAAGCTCTGCAACTAAAAACGGGAGAACAAGCAGTGTTGCAACAATTCCCCCTTCCTAGCCCTGCCAGAGGAAAGGCAGCTTTTCTCAAGCCTCATGCTGTTTACTCTTCCACTCTGCAACCTTTCAAAACCATCTTCTCTTTCCCACCATCACTTTCCTTTTACCAACAGAGACTAATTTCTAGTTTCAGAGAGAAGTGAAGGTCACCATATCAGCATTTGGGAGAAGAGCCTTCACATCTCTTTCCAGACCATGGAAAAGCTGCATCTCATGCCAGCTGTGAATAAATGCATTATGGCTACTTTTGGCATCATTTCTGCCAACATCCCCACTAAAAATCTTCCTGCCAACTACAAAAATAGGCGGATTTCACATCTGTAAACAAAACTGATCAGGACTATACAACGAGGCAAGCCTCTTCGACACAAAACGTTCTGGGGATGAAAGTGCAGAAGAGTTTGATGAGACAAGAATGAACAAGGAGGAGAAGTTAAGCAAGGCAGGACAGCCCTGGCACAGCTGCCACAAAAGCAGCCCCAGCGCAGGCAGAGGCCAAGAAGAGGCGCAATGAAGCCCCTGGGCTCTCACTCCAAGGCAGGTCAATGGCTCAGGCCGCTGGGGCGAAGCTAAACAAGCCTGGGCCACGGCTCACCTCGCCGCTTCCATCCTTGGCCGTCAAAACTATCCCACTGTGGAATTGCTGTGGGTTCCCGAAAGGAGAGAGCGGAGCCGTTTCCAAAAGTCCCTCTTCAGGATTTTGTTTCGGCGGTTCTCCCCCTCTCTGGTGCAGCTTCAGCATCGCTTGGGTTCTTCCAAGGGAGCCTGGCCACGTGGCTCAGCTTTGTGCAAGAGGATTCTGTGAGTGCCACGGATGGCCTTGCACATCATGTGGAGCTGAAATCAAGCCAACCAACTTCGTGGCGCTTGTGAGCCCAGCCAGCACTAGCATGTCAAACCAAAGGCATCAGTCACGGTGATCTGCCAGACCAATCGTGGTGGTCACAGAACCGAGGGCTTTTGCTCTGTTCAAACCATTCCCCCAAAGCATCAGCATTGGTTGGTCAAGAGTCCAGATTGGTCTGAGAAGAGAGGAACCTGCCCAAGGGCAGCTACCCCGATGCTTCCTCAGACCAGTCCTTTATACCCCAAATCCAGGGGACTTGGGGCAAGTGCTGTGTTCAAGATGCCCCACCCTAACTCCCTCACCTCCTTCAGGGGAAGGCCTGCAAAGCCCACACCTGCCTGAGGCAGTACCAGGCACAACTGCCACGAAGCATGTACCCACGTCTGCACCTGGCCTAATCGCCACCATCTTTCTCGATAGGCATTCTGCCATAGAAAAGGCTCGGGGTGTCAATGTGCCCATGCGCCTCCATGCAAACCTTGCTCTAAATCATGTGTCAAAGCACGCTGCTTGCCGTACCCATCCTGCCCCAGGGAGGCCTCTAAGCTCTGTGAAGCTCAAGCCAGGAGTGGGGGCTGACTTGGGCAAGGAAGGAGGCAACCTTCCAAGGAAAGTCAGTCCCCTCCCTGAGACAGTCTCACCAGAGAGACCCCCTCAACTAGAAGGGAGCCCCTCCCAAGAGAAAGCCTTCTTCTCAGAGAAGCCCAGGAAAGGAGGTCCTGCTCCTTGCACAGCTCACAGTCCACACAGACCTCAGGAAGGGGCTGGATTTCTAGACTCCTCCGTCTTGCCAGGTCATTGGAGCAGCCAATACTTGCCGAGGAGGAGAACACAGAAGAGCAGAAGGGAAATGAGCTCTCTTTTGTGTGGGGGTTCCTCTGCTGCTGCTCCAAGCTGGAGGGAGCCAGGCGCCAGTTTCCCACCTCGCTGCAGAGGAGGGCAGAGAGAAAGTGTGCAAGGGACAGGAGAACAAGGTAGGAAGCAGGCTCCAAAATGGTTCTGGATAAGCGGGGGTCTTGTGTGTGGCTTAATAAAGGCATTTCATTTAGTCTCCTTTTAACCCAGATCTGGACCATGGGAGGCGTGGCAGCCTTTTGGCAGTTTGCCCAGCCTCCACCACGTTTTCCAGTCCTTTGCTGAGGCTGGGCGCCTTGTGCTTGGGAGGAATTTGGGTCAACAGCTGAGCAGAGCAATCACAAAAACCGTGGTGCTGACCTATCGTTGGTTAGGGTTCGACGAAGGCGCACCCCACGGCGGATGGCTACCAGCATGTCTTCAGCGGGGGGCTCACTGGAAGTGGCCAGAGGGGGGTTGGGGGTCTGCTCCTCAGGACCAGGGTCCGAGAACACCGTGGGGAAAGGGAACTGGCCATCTCCCAGGGCGTGAGCACTGGCCACCAGCTCACCAATCTTTTCCACCAGGCTGTGGCGGTTGGCGGCCAGCTGCTGCTCCTCTTCTGTGGAGGGCTTCCCAGCCCCGGCAAACACCGAAATCTCCAGGGCACTGCCACCCCAGCTGGCATTGGGCAGGCTCAGCCTCTTGGGGGATGGTTTGGTGAAGTCCAGGCCATGCGGCGAGCAGGCATCGTCGGCATAGAAGACACATTCATCGCTGCCCATCCGGAGGGGGCTGGCGTGACTGGGCGAGTCAGGCACAGTGGGGGTCTTGACCGGGACGATGGGGGGCCTGATGGGAATTGGACCAGCGCTGGAGACGGTTCGGCGAACCGTGGGCTTGGTGGAAGGTGTGCGACGGATGGTAGCCACGCCTGGTGTGGTCCCGGTTGGCAAGGCAGTGCCAATGGGCAGGCCTGCCGTTGAAGCCGGTCGCTTGGTCTGGATCATCCGCCGATAATTTTGAGCGATATTGCTGTTGCGAGGGATGGTTGAGGATTTGTCTAATTCATTCTGATTGTCTCCCTCGATGTCCCCATTCACCGAATAGCAGTCGTACTCTGAACCTGAGGAAGGGACAGGCGGATGCATCAGGAGCAGGGACCAGCAAAGGATGACCTTGGCCGAAATGGGCCATTACCAAAACATGGCTTCAGTGCGAAACAAGGATGAGGCGTGGGACAGCAACACAGGCAGAGACCTCCCTAATTCCTAGGGGCATGGGGGAGGGGGCGTAAGCAGAGTCACTCTTACTACGGCCAAAGTTAACAGACGTTGTTTGAGCCTGATCCATGCCCCGTGCTAGCTGAACCCGAGTCAGAGCCACACCTCCTGCTTCAGCACAAAGCTTCCCCAAGCGCATGTTGCTACATGAGGTAAGGCACATTGTGGGGGGCACATCGAGGGAGTAATGACTCGGCCTGCACCCTTCGACATCAAAGCTCGGAGCACATTTAGCCTCAGCAAAGCCCAACTGCCTGCTGCTTCTTTCCACTGCTGGGAGAAACGGAGAGCTGGGCAATGGGGGCTGCTTAGGACAAGTGTGCCATGTCAGGTGATGTGGGGCTCCTGCCTGGCTGAGAGCCTTCTTCTTCTTCTTCTGAGAGCTTCTGCCTTCAAAGAAGGATTCTGTTTCCAGGCTATGAGGGATCTGCCAGAGATGCCCAACCTCTGCCATCGCTTGGACCTTCTCCAGTGGCTTGGAGTGGCCCCTCAGCAGGCCTGGTTGCACCCTCCCAGCCTGCCTGCCCCCCTTGAAGCCGGCCTCCTACCTTGGGAGGGAATAGTGTCCTCGGAGCAGGATGGGGTGGTGTTCTGTGTGCTATAGCCGCTGGAGAACTGCAGGCTATCCCGGCTGCTCTTCTGGTGCTCCAGGCTCAGGCCGTGGGTCAGCACCATGGCCAGGTCACTGGCTGCCGGAGACACCTCCTCCCCGTGCTGCTGAGAAGGAGAAAGAAGCTCAGAGTCAGCATTGTGGCCCTCTCGGAGGGAGATGGGTGAAATATCAAGAGAGCCCCCCCAGCTCCAAGCAGGGCTCCTGTGCTCAGGCGGACAGGCCTCAGGGCCAGGGAGGGAGGTGGACTGCTCTCACTGCTGCCAGGGCAGTCCTGACTGGCTCCACCCTGAGCACCTGGCCTGGGCAGTGGGGAGGAGGGGGCTGCAATCAGCACGGCTTCTGAAGTGGGACAGAGCCAGAAAGACAAGCGCAGTTTGCAACACACACACACACACACACACACTGCCCCACTTGGCACTGACTCACAGCTTCAGGGATACCTGCCAGGGCCAGAGGCTGCTGCATTCACTGGCTGCTTAAGCTGCTCGGCCTGCAGAGCCTTCCTGGGGTCTTTTATCTGGGGACCAGGATTAAATGGGGGAGCCCTTTGCTCGGCCTCTCCTGCAGAGAGCACCTCGCTTCAGCTCCAGCTGGTGAGGAAGGCAGAGGCCTCATCCTTGGAAAATCCCTTATGCAAACACTTTCAAAATTGGGCCCCTTGAAGGGAAAGCAATGAGAACCCTACCTAGTGGCCCCCACACCTCCCCACCTTCTGTTTTGTCTACTGGAAGCAAACAGTCTCTTTTATTCTAATTATTCAAACACCCATAAGTGAAATCAGCTCCTCCTTCGAATCTGCCTGGATCTGGGATCGTGGGCTGGGCAGGGATGGCTCAGGGGACATCCAGGCAGTGGCCCAAATAGAGCTCCAAATGAACCCGATTCCAAGGGCGCTTCCTGGGACCCGGCCGTACCTTGGCAGCAATGGAAGCAGGGGACAGGCGAGGCCGGGGACCATCCTCCAAGCTGAGCCCCGGATAAATCAGGGAGGCCGAGCCTGGTTCTGCCTCCCGGAGAAACTCCACACGATCCTTTCTGCGCTGCAGAGCATTTGCGCCCGGCTGCTCATAGATGGGGAGCTTGGACCAATCCTGAAAAATATAAAGCTGGCATGACTGGCAATCCCAGCCTTGCGAAACCAAGCAAGGCAAGAGGGGAAGGGGACTGGGTGAGGAAGCGGGAGGAGGCCATAGCAACTCTTGAGCCTTGGGGGGCCCATCTCCCTGTGAGACACCATCCAAGAGGCCACGCTGGCCCCCAGAAGCAAGTGCCAGGACCATCCTGCTGCCCCAGGGCCCCTCAGCCCTCCCAGATATTCTGCCCATTTCCACGAAGCAGAAAGCTCCAAAACGGTTCTGGATAAGCAAGGGTCTTGCGTCTGGCTTAATAAAGGCATTTGATTTACTCTCCCTTTAATCCAGATCCTGACCAGGTGCCTGTGATGCATGGCAGCCTTTTGGCAGTCTCCAAGACATTTCCCAGTCCTTTCCTGAAGCCTCTGAATACTTAGGAAGGTGCCCTGCGCTTCCCGGGTCTTTGCAAAAGGACCATAAAATGGGGAGGGGGCTGGAAGTCGAGCCCCATGAAGACCTGCCAAGGGATGAGCTTCCTCTGCTGAGAGTGGAAAGCTGCAAGGCGGACTGAGGACAGCCTCAGAGGTGGCCCTGGAAGGCAGGACCAGATCCAGGGAGACAAACTGCCAAGGAAAACCTGTGGGAGGAGTTTCTGAAGAAAAAGCACTGTCAACCCACGGAATAGGCCACCTACAGAATCGTCTTTGTCCCATCACATCAACCCGTCCCACTCGGCCAGGCAGGAAGGATGCTGTGGATCCCATCTGCCAAAGGATTCCAACCACGGTGGTGATGTCCAGGAAGAGGGCCTTCTCTGTCATTGTCCCCACCCAGGAAAGGATTGCCCCCGTCCTCCCAAATTCTGCTGGCCTTCCGGAAAGGAGAGAAAACGTGGCTCTGCAGCCTGAAGCACGCAGCTGGGGGGCTGGTTAACACATTGAAAAGCCCTCCCCGCCTTTTAATTAATTTTTTAACATTCCTTGCCTCTTTTATATACTGTTATTTTATATGCTGTTTTTATGCTTTTAATATTTTATTGTACACTACCCAGAGTCCCTCTGTGAGACAGATGGGTGGTTCTTAAAAGTAATAAAACAATAAATAAGCCAACTGCTCCCTGGCGGTCTGCAGACTTGTGGCCCCCAGCCCCCAAGGCTCCAGCAAGGAGCAGAGCCTGCACCAAGCAGGATTAGGCCAGGTCGCCCCCGGGACGCTGTCCCCCTTACTGCGTCTGAGGCCAGAGACGCCAAGGGACACGCAGGAGACTTTGTGGGGCATCCAGTGTCTGTCAAAGTGCCTGTCCAGTGCCTGTCCTTGCCACCCTTTTACCCCCTGCTGAGTTCCTGGGGTGGCAACTGAGGGAGGAGAACTGGTCCATCCCAGGGCAGGGCAGGTCTGCTCAAACTCCCAGCGGAGGGCAAGTGCTTGCTGGGTCCTTGTGCCGGGAGTGCTGAGCCCTGCAGACCAAAGGGCAGGGACTGCATCCTCCCCATGGCAGGTCCTCCCCCACCCCAGGAGGCTCTTTCCTGGCCCTCCTGCCTGGTTGCTCCACCAGAGATGGGCTGGATTCCAAGCTCCTCATGGAGACACAGCTTCGGTTTCTTGGAAGCCAAGGAGGCCCCAGGGGTAGCGGTAGGCTCCCACTCCCACCAAGGGTAGCTAAAACTCCCCACCAGCTGATGTCTGCAAGGCCCAGAGAGTCCAGGCTCACGGCTGGTCATGGAGCTCCCTAAGCTGGTCAACCAACAGAAAGCAGAAAGCATCCAAGCCAGCATGGGGGCAGGAGGCCAAGGCCATTCACCCACCCAACCAAGAAGTTTGTGGCATGCATCAACTCTTCACCAAGTGCAGGTGTGCCCCAAGATAAAATGGGGGAGGGAAAGTGTGTTTGTGTGTGTGTGGAGGGGAACTCAAGCTTCACCTTGTGGCCACCTGAATACAATCCAGTAGCAGAGTCAGAACTAACCGAGGTTGGGGAGTTGCATTCACTAACAGATTGGCAAGTTTCAGAGGCTTCAGATGATGCAGAGCTGGAGGACTTCTGGCAGGCCCCAAGGTGGAGCAGCAGCAGCAGCAGCAAAACAGACAAGCAGAGAGGAAGAGAAGAAGCTGTTAGGGAAGGTGGCAGCGGCAGCAGAGACAGAGTACAGCTTGACAGGGCAAGGCACAGGCGGAAATGAAAGCGGCAGGCAGCTGGCAGAACCTCTCATACAGGAGGAGGAGGAGGAAGTCCAAACTTTCATGAAGGGGAGGGAAACTCCCCCCTTCCACCTGCAGTGACAGAGATATCCTGAGAACTGGATTTTCTCTCCTCTTGACCTCCTCCCAAATTGTGAGCAACACAATATTGAGACCCCTCTGAAGCCAGCCCCACCCACCCCCACCCCCACCCCAGGTCGATGTCATCATGGCTTAGAGAGCTGCTGGAGGAGTGCCAGCGTTAGCCTTTGAATTGGGCAAGGAAAGCCACGCATGTCCCCTCCTTCCTCCAGTCCAAGAAGGGGCTCCTACTGGCAGCAGCTCCTCAGGGTCACAGCCCACCTCCTTCCCTCAAAAAGGAACTGTCCCAATCCTTTCCCGAGGGACATAATGGAATCAACCCAGCACAAAGGGACAGCCTTCCCTGTTCAAATCAGACTCCGTCTCCATTTCCAAGAAGGCTGGCCAGGGAAGGAGGGACTCTTGAATCGCTCCCAGGAGAGGAGGCTCTAGGCTGCCACCAGCTTCTTTCAGGAGATAGCACCTGCCTGCCTGGGAGCACAAGTGGAGCCATAATTCTGTCCTGGAATTCCTTCTTTGTTCACCCTTAGCTCACCTGGCTGGTGATGTCCAAGGGCATTGGCGAAGGAGGCTTGGAGAACATGGTATCCTGCGAGATGAAGCCCGAGTCATGTGATGAGACACTGGACAGGCGGGTGTTGGCATTTCCTGGTTGTGCCACACTATGGGAGTAAAATGTGAAACCAGGTGAGATGCTACCACCAGAGCTTCCCCAGGAAGTGAAGGAGGAGGACACTGGTTGCAGATGTGAGAGGTTCCTTGAGGCAAGGTAAGCCAAGCAGTCCGTTACATGCCCTCCTCATGCTGGCACTGTTCCTCTGGGGGAGGGCAGTAAATACAAGCTGCCCTTATTTTATGCTGATTCAAGACCTGCAGAGTTGTTACTGTAACAGAGTTGTTACAGAGTCCTTCTCCACCATGAAGAAGCCTTCAAGAAGTCAGCTCTTCCTCTTCAGCAGGGATCAATAAAGTAGGCTGAATCTTATGGACAGGGACTTATATGCTGCAGCTTACACAAATACGTATTTTAATTCTTTCCTCAGCTAAAGGCAGAAGCACTTTCAATGTCTATGAAGAATTTTGGGGTGAGATCAAGAGCAACACGTCTTAAAGTTTGGAGCATAACTTTTCCCAGCTACTTCCAGTTGACAGATGTTACACCACCATCAAAGACAAAAGGAGAGCTTTGCTTGACCTGAAGGAGAGAACTGCCATGGCTCGAGTTCATTCGTTATGTCCGATTCGAGGCCAACTCTGACCACAGCTGCTCAAGTCTGGCTCTCTTTGATTTTATTCCATGCCATTGCCAACTCAGTTTGGGAAGTATCTGGTATGTCACAAGGGGTATCATTGAACTGGGGTATCATTGAACCTATTCAAGCTTCCTAAGGTCTGAGCCCACGAGAAGCCTGTTCCTGTTATACGCCACTTAACAAGAGATCCCCAGTAGCTGAGCCAAACATACCTGCACATGCTGGATTTGCGGGATCCTGAGCTGCTAGGGGAGGATGGAGGGGTTTGGTAAGACCAGCTGTAATCAGAGCCCTTCAGATCTTTGATCACCTGCAAGAAAAAGTTATTTTAGCCGGGCCTTTACAGCATTTCTGACCCTAAGAGATTTTGCCCTCCGAACAGACCCCAGAGGCATTTGTAAACCGAGGAGAGGCTCACTGGCCTTTGGCCAAACTATGTTCACCCAGATCGCAGCCAAGATGCTGCCGGGAAGGGCCACCAGCTAAGCTGCTTGTGCCACCAGGCCTTGCTTGTAGCAAAGGAGGAAGAGTTAAAGGGATGGATATCAGCCCAATTGTCTCTGGTGCTCCTTGGAGGCACCAGCATGGCACAACTCTCGGTGAACTGGGGGCCAGATAACAAAAACGGTTGGGCAAAATTTCCCTCAACCAACAACTGGCATATTACCTACAGACTCAATCTAGCTTCCCAAACTATTCCAATCCTTTCTTCTCCAATGTTGGGGTCCAGGCCCTGAAGCCCTTCGGTTCTTAGCTCCAGAGAAGAGATGCCCCACAAGGCCCAGACTGCCTGCAGAGCTGCCAGCGTGGATGAGTTTCTGGAAGGGGTCTGGCCACAACAAAGCAGAATGCCCACACATAGTCCGGCCATCTTCAACTACTCCAGAGGAAGTACAAGTTCACATGTGACTATGTGAATCCACTGGGCTTTTTCATGGGAGCCATGAACTCCTGAGCCTTCCTGGATCCAGTTCCCCAGAAGGCAATCTTTTGGAACGATATTTCCTGTCTTTACTTGCCTTTTGGGCTTGCCAATGGCTGAAGCTATAAGATATAGAGCAATAACCCTCCATTCTCTTTGAACTGATTGGAATCCACTGAAGCAAGATTGTTATTCAGAATGGTGATACGGTAGTCCTCAATTTATGACTATTTAACAACGGTATGGCACAGTGGTGAAATCCAAATTTTTTTACTACTGGTTCTGTGGGTGTGGCTTGGTGGGCGTGGTATGGCTTGGTGGGCGTGGCAGGGGAAGGATATTGCAAAATCCCCATTCCCTCCCCACTCCTGGAGGAAGGATATTGCAAAATCTCCATTCCCACCCCACTCTGGGGCCAGCCAGAGGTGGTATTTGCTGGTTCTCTGAACTACTCAAAATTTCCGCTACCGGTTCTCCAGAACCTGTCAGAACCTGCTGATTTCACCCGTGGTATGGCAGCGTCTGAAAAAGTGACTCACAAGCCATCCTTGCAGTTATGACCATCATACCATCCCCATGACCACATGATTACAATTTCGGCCCTTGGCAACATTTACGACAATTGCAGCATCCTGCAGTCAAAATGTTTCAGGCATGCTTCTGACATGCAAAGTCAACGAGGGTCAAATTTGCTAACCGACCATGTGATTCACTTAACAATTGTGGTGAATCAATTAATAACCACAGTAAAAATGGTTGTCGGGTCATGTGATGACTCACTTAATGACCCCATTGCTTAGCAAGTGAAATTCTGGTCCCAATTGTGGTCATAAGTCAAGCGCTAGGAGTGAATAAATAATTGTAATAAATAATAATTGTAATTGTAATAAAAATGGTTTGGCCAAAAAGAGAGAGGGGCTGATTAAATCTGCAAGACTTCTAGGCAAGATAGATTTAAAAATTCAAAATAATTTCATAAATACCGATAACCGGGGGGGGGCTGGTGAATTCACCAAGGGAAAGTGAATTGTATCTTATCTAGCAAAAATCTCAGATCCAGTTTAATGTCAGTTAGAAAAGGAAGACCCTGGCCCACAATTAGCCAAAAGAATACTTTACTAAAGCCAAAGTGGTTACAGAAGAGGAAAAGCTGGATCTGAGCTTTTGCCCTGGTTATCAGTCAATGTTCAGCCAGGTGTCTGGGAAATGGTGCTCATCTTCCTGCGCCAGCTCCGCATCCTTCTGGAGTGACCTTGAGATGGCCGGTGCTTCCCACTGGGCGGTAGTGCTTTATTTCGATTCCTCCGAGCCCCCTCCCTGCCTCCCTCTCCCCCCCTGCTCCCTCCCACCATTACTGATGTCAGGCTTTCAGCTTAGCAGAATGGCAGCCATGACAAGTTCTTTTTTATTAAAGGAAAAATAGGAACAAAATGACCAGATAAAGCTGGCTTTGTAACACTATTTGTGAAAAAGAGCTCAGAGCTGTCTGAAAATGAATCAGCAGCATAAGCGCCCTAAAAAGATAAGGACCACGTAAGGTTGCCTCCACAGAAAGCTACGACTGAATGGATGTCATCGTCATCGTCATCATCATCGTAAGTCAGAAGAAAAAGCAGTTCCAGGCTTTTGTGCCGTGGTCGAGCTTCAGGTTCCCCTTTAGCGAAGCCAGGCAACCAGAAAAGCAACAAGAGAAAAAGGCAACCGAGTCCTGAACATCTCATGAGAACTCTAGTCCTGAGAAAGGACAGGAGGGGAGGGGAGACCCCCGGCCGCATTTTAAGTCCTTGAAGCGGACCTTATCCTGGTCTCTGAGCGCAGAGCATGGCATACATGGAGTTTTAAGCCCCAGATTCTGATGAAAAGCAGTTGAATCGGAGCAGGGAGGTGGGCCCCTCCTGGATGCTGCAAATCCCTGTGGTGAGAGGGAGGGGCTGGCTCAGGGGAATATGGACCATGATTTTTGTGCTTCTCTACCTGCTCACTGGCTGTTGGCAGTTTATGTGGATCTGCTGTCAGCACCACTAGGTCATCAATGATGCCCTGAAGGTGGGTGATCTCTCCCAGCATGGTGATCTCTCCGTTCTGCAAAAGGGTAAAGGAAAGGATGAGCCTTGGCCGTGTGGACAAAAGAACCTGGAATCAGGAGAGAACCAGCTTCCCCCCCCCCCACACACACTAGAGCTTGCTCTTTACCTGGGGAAGACCAGGAGGAAGGGTCAAGGTGAGCCCCACTTTCTAGGCCAGATAAGGTCACTCAGGCCTTGTCACTCAGTGTGCCTACTTCAGCTTCAGAGAGGTGGGCAAAAGGGAGCCTCTTTTTGGCAGAGGCAACTCTAGGTGTCAATTGAGGTCAAGGATGCTCCCCTTCGGCCCCCTCATCTGATCTGGAGACTTCCCAGCTTCTTCTCCATTCCTGTTTGCTCCTTCTCTCCACTGAGCATCCGAGTTCTGCTACTACATTTCGGCTGGTCCTCCACAGGCCGTGCAATGCTACAGACTGTGCAGAAGCCACAAAGCCACAAATCTGTCACTTGAGGTTTTGTGTAATTTCAGAAATCAGAAATGTAACTCACGTTAATCCATGTGAAACCTGCTGGGATTACAGTTACATTACTGAAATTAAATAAAATAATATCATTCCAGGCAAGCTGGAATGACCAAAGAAAAAAAATAAAAAATTCAGAATTAGGAACAGTAAACAAAAAGAGCAATTTGGGAGTTTGCCTATACAATCTTATGGAGAACCACAAACACCTTAAATGTTCGTGTTCACATTCAAACCTTCAATAAAGCTGAATGAAAAATGGGGCTGGCACCAGGGATGGTATTCACTTACCTTCGCTACCGGTTCGCAAATGTGAGCACAGGACCTTCTGCGCATGCGCAGAGTGTCAAAAATGGGATATCAAAAATGGGTGGGTGGGTGGAGCCTCCCACAGCCGCCACTACCAGTTCGCCCAAACCGGATAGAATCAGCTGAATACCAGCCGGTGGTCGTGACTGGTTGGCACCAAATGTGGCAACAGATTCCAATATTGTTCCCGTAAGTGAGTTGCCAAGCACCAAAGCCGGAGACACTCCTCTGTTGTCTGCTTGGGCCAAGTGAAGCATCAGCTGGGAGAAAAGCCACAAGCCAAATTCTCTACTCAAGTGATGGTACGTTTTTAGCATCCTTCCTTGGTTGCATCCTGGATTTCCTTCCTCCTGAAATATCTCTGTTCCTCTCTGGGATAGGGAGGGTCAGCCCAATCCTGTGACTTGCTAACCCCAAAGCCTTGTGCCCGGAGACCCAACCCGGAGGGGTCCTCGGGGTTCTAGTCCTTCTAAGGACACTGGACGCCTTTATGGAGGAGGAGGGCTCTACCAAAGACTTGGTCTTATCTCTGGAGGGAGGGAGGGACAGAGGGGGGGCGGCAGCTGGTCTCACAGCGATGCAAGAACAACAGTGGGAGGGAGGCCAGTCTTGGGTCCTGTTGACTGGCAGCCTGGCTGGACCCTGAGAGAAAGGAAACGCTGGGCTGACCAGTAGAACCTTCTAGGAGGTCAGGGTTGCTCACACACACCTACCCCCGCTTGCTCGTGCAACCCCCTCCCCTGCTCATTTGGCTACTGCCAGCCACCCTTTTGCCCTGGAAACCCCTCTTGGGAAGAAGGGCGAGGAAGCTCGCACGTCTTTTCTGGCCTTCTCTGCAGTTCCCAGAATGGCTGGCTGGGTGGAGCAGCCAGAAGACTAATTAAACATTGAAGGCAGTGGGGGAAAGGCCCTAAATCGTGCAGCTTTTAACTTGCACAGCATCTTCCAGACAAGAATAAGTATTCATCCCAATATTCATGGGGAAAAAAATGGACAAAGGAGTCAAAGAAAAAGCTGAGACCAATTCTTAATTGGAATTTTCAATAAACATCCTACTTGGTCTCTAATTCTGCATCACCTCGAATGCCACTCTGAGATGAACCAAGGACCAGTCTAGGAAGCCCACCTCCTCCTCCACCTCAACTCCCACCAAGAGAGAAAGTCCCTTCCCACTCTGGACCCTCTGGGTTGGGCAGGGGTGACACCTGGTATCCAAACACCCAAGAGGCGACCTTCCTCTTCATCAGATCCAGATTCTGGATGCAAAGTTTGGCAAGATACATCATCCTTTCCTGCATTGCTGGGAGTAGCTCAATGTAATGCCCTGGACATAAATTCTCTTTCTTGCACAGGTTCCACGCCCCTTACCTAAAAGCAGGACACTGGACTAACCTGAGGGCAGGCACAAGCACAATTGAACTGACAGCTGCGTTATTATTGGGCAACAAAAGCCAATTGTTTTTTTCCCATGCTTAAAAATCAAGATCTGCCTGTATATTTGTATTTTAATAATATTTGTATTTTAATTCTGGCTGTACACCGCCCTGAGTCCTTCGGGAGAATGGGCAGTATATAAATAAAATTATTATTATTATTATTATTATTATTATTATTATTATTATTATTATTAAGAAAGGGTGGGGACAGTTGCCCGGTCCCTAGAAGAGCTGCGCTTGACCACGGAAACGAGGCACGTACCACCACCGGCTGCAGGAATGCGATGAAGGTGCAGAACCTCCCTCGTTCCTCTACCAGGGCCTTGCGAACTGCCTGCTTCTCCGTCTCCTCCAGCAGGAGGTACAGGTCGTTCACATCCTGCAGGGCATTGTCCAGCTGAGGCTGCAGGTCCCCCCTGCCTAGAAACGACAGCAGATGAGACCATCATTGCTTCTTTACCCAGAGCCTGGCCAAGCTCTGGCTTTCCACAGATGTCAGGCTGGGACAAAACCTGCCACACACTAAATCAAACGAACTACCACTGGCTTACTTTTGCAGCTGAAGGTGTCTCTAGGATTACATGTTTGGGAGTCAAACAACATATTATTATTACTGTTAATAATAATAAAAACAATACAGCATATAGACAGGAGGCAAGATCACAGTGGGAAATGAAATGGATGAAGTGTACATGGAAGAAGAAACAGACATTTCTTGAGACCTAAACTCAACCCGTGTTCCATTGTTCACACATGGAATTCAAATTTATTTAGCATTTGCTTATCTCTAAGGTATCATGCAGCATAATGCAGTACAATACATGGATAGTTCCCAAGAACCTTTCATATAACTTCCCAAATAATTGACTGGGCCAATATAAATCTAAATCTGGGAAAAGAAAACACAACTACTGAGTCCCATTGCATGCTAAGCCCTTCCAAAGAAACTATAATGGCTTAATATGATGTCTTATTTCAGAGAACACCCTAAGAAAATTGCTTGTTGGTCAAACTTGTTAGATGAAACTAGCAAACCTTATTTATTTATTTATTTATTGGTTTGATTTATATGCCGCCCTTCTCCGGAGACTCAGGGCGGCTTACAATGCTTTTAAGCAATAGCCTTCATACTTTTGTATATACCTGCTTAGTAGGGCTTTCAGCCCACCCTAAGCGGTGTTCTTTTTTATACAAAGTCAGCTTATTGCCCCCACAAACCGGGTCCTCATTTTACCTACCTCGAAAGGATGGAAGGCTGAGTCAACCTTGAGCCTGGTGAGATTTGAACTTGCAGTAATTGCAGACAGCTGGTGCTACTTGATAGCACTTTAGTCTGCTGCGCCACCAAGGCTCTTTTCAACCTTGTCCATTGGCTTGTAAAAAAATGCCAACTTACAAAACCTTATGAGAAATCTGGCCTGCCGCAGTCCTCAGAGCAGCACCATAAGTGGCATCTGCTGGTTGTAAAAAGTTATGACTCTATTTCAGGGGAAAACAAGGAAGCTCCATTCATCCATTCACTGACTGGCACCTACTGGCACTCACTATAATGTTGCCCAGTAATAATATATTGCAATAAGGCTGCACCACTCAGGTCAACCTTCTGCTGAGGAGGCCATGAAGAGCAAGGCAGAATGAGCAGATGATCAAGTATCTCACACTCACACACACACATACACACATCTTATACAATATTATAACATAACTTTTTTTTTTTTGTAAATATTTTTTATTTATTTTTTCCAAATTTAAACATAAAACATAACTTTCAAGAGCAAAAATCTCGATCCGGTCATAGATGGTTACCACGCTTACATTCCTTTCACGAGCTCAATTCACAATTTCCATTACATCTTTTATAAGTAAACAAAAAAGAAAAGAAAAGAAATTCAAAACTTAAAAAAACCAATTTTAACTCAAATTTAACATTTTCATCTATATAAATCCATTATATCTATCCAAAATTAGTTTCAAATTCACTTTCACTCATGTTTACATCTGCATAACAATTCTAAACATATCTTTATTCTTCTTTACCTTATATCTTATACAAGTCATATCAAAATAATTTTTACAATATTCTAACCTCTTGTTATTTATTTATTTATTTTATTTATTTTTGAATTTGTATACCGCCCTTCTCCCTGAGGACTCAGGGAGGTGAACAGCCAGATAAAAACATCAAATACAAATATTAAAACACATTTAAAAATATATTAAGTGTTTACCTTACAATTTTATCACCATTTATTCTTAATTTCAATTCAATACCACTCTATTTTTATTATATTTTATAAAACAATATTTTGTCTAATTTTAATCCTTTGACCCTTATCCTCAAATCAGTTTACCTTAGGTTTTTTTTCTCCGTTTACATATTACACAGATTTCTCACAGAGACATATTTTATTTACTCCAATTTCTAATATATTTTCCACTATATCTCTCTCTAATATTTAACTATCTTCCAGCTTATTCTATTTGATTAATTCTCAGCTTGATCCCCTCCAAAACACCAACTGTTTAGTTAATTTCAGAATAGTTCCTCAATCTCCTCCAACTCTCCTCCTATTTGTTCGGCTGTTTCCAGCATTTTGTGGGCTGATTTCTAGCATAGTCTCCTCCTTAACTCCCTCCATTGTTTGGCTGATTTCCAGCATAGTCTCCTCCAACTCTCCTCCTATTTGTTTGGCTGTTTCCAACATTTTATGGGCTGATTTCCAGCATAATCTCCTCTAATCTCCCTCCATTGTTTGACTGATGTCCAGCATAATTCCCTCCAGCACTCCTCCTATTTGTTTAGCTAATTTCCAGCACTTCTAATTAATTTCCAACGTATTACCACCGAGTCTCAAACTCTTATCCCACACATTTTAACTGTAATATAATTATCTGTTTTATATCATTTTTCCATCCTACTCTTTCAATTTAAATCTCAGTATATTTCATAATAGTCATCATTTCCAACATGTATTACCTTAATTCAAGACTAATCACTAGCATCTGTGTATCTTGTATTTTGTTCAATCAATCCTTATTCATCAGTTTAACATTTGTTTGCAAATTAAAATTAAAACATATTACATCAAACAGTACATTTTCTTAAAATTTTCCTGCCTCAAAATATATTTGTGAGACCGCCTTCTGCCGCCGATAGCCTCCCACCAACCGGTTCGTTCACACAGAGAGGGCCTCCTCAGGGTGCCGTCGGCCAGGCAGTGCCGGCTGGCGACCCCCAGGGGGAGAGCCTTCTCTGTGGCAGCGCCTGCCCTCTGGAATGACCTGCCCCCTGAGATACGCACGATATCAGACCTCCGGACTTTTCATCGGGCCCTGAAGACACACTTGTTCCATCTAGCTGGGCTGGCTTGATCCCATCCTCTTAGTTTTTAATCGAATTTCGGTTTTAATTGGGTTGTTTTAAATTCGGGCCAATATTATTTAATTGTTTTTTAAAATGTTTTTAAATTTTATATGCTATGTTTTATCCTGGCTGTACACCGCCCTGAGTCCCGCAGGAGAAGGGCGGTATAGAAATATAATGAAATAAATAAATAAATAAATAAATAAATAAATAAATAAATAAATAAATATTCTTCTTTATTATTTTTATCCCCTTGATATCATCCATTATTTTAATAGCCACCTCTTATTTTCTATTTTTATTATTTCACAACCCTTCCTGTTTTTATCCAAAAATCATATATACCTAGGCTTTTAAACTTTATCATATATACATAGGCTTTTAAACTTTACATTTCAGTTAGTCACATTTAAATTTATCCACTTTAATTCTTCCTTTTCTTCCTTTTCCTCTCTGTCCAAAGTGCTCTATTTCAAGGTTCATCAGTTCAAAGTAAAGAATTTCTGTATGTCCCTTTAAAACTTTTAAAATGTCTGTTCCAAGCGTAGTGCATCAGCTTCCTGTCTTTGTTAACTACGCCACACCTAGCTTTTGTTTACAGTTTTGTCAGTCTCCATTGTTAAAATCCAAAATGTCCTTTCTTTCTTCTTTCTTAAAATCATCTGGGACAGAGTAGGAATCTCCAAAATCGTTATATCCAATATTAATTTCAAGTAATCCAAGGTAAAAAGCCAATTAACATATTTCTTTTCCACCCAGAAAGGGAAATTTCTTCAATCCACTTCCCTGCTTAGTCACTGCAGATTCCATGGCTATTTTGTAGCCATCCATCTATCTTCATTAGCTTCATTAGCTTCATTTCTTTTAGAGGCATTAATTCTCAGGAATATCCATTTCTCCTATCCACTCCAGTTAAAGGCACAGTTAAATTTCAGAAATTTATTAATGCCAAATCAGCCAATTTAAGTTTACTGCAACAAAATTCAATTCGGGTCTTTTAACCATTTTTTTTCCTTTTCAATCTTTAAGCCCCGCAGTCCAGCAGCCGCTTTTAAATTTGAGGTCTTATTTTCCAATAATTCCAAATAGGTACGTTATATTGCCTGGGTTGGTGTCACTCACCCGGCTTCTTGATCTTTGCTCTTTCTTCATCTTCTTCCTGCAGCTCAATCCTCGTTCCTGGTTGCCGCGGTTTCAGGGCAGCCGCCATGGCTGCCGTTCCGCTGCCGCTGACGTGAAGGAGAAGCCTCCGGCCCCGAGGAACCTGCCCGTTCCTCTCAGCCGCCCAAGGCGTTCCTTCTTGTCCCCCTGTCCCTACAAGACAGGTGAGGTCCACAGACCTATCGGCGGCAGCTTAGCAGAGGGGATTTGGCAGGGCTCAGCGGAGCTCGCCATTTCCCCATCTGTTTCCCCGTGGCGCCAACCGGAAGTCAATATTATAGCGTAATTTCATTGCATACAGCTGTATGCAATGAAATTTCATTTTAATATATGCAGATAAGTGTATATTCAAAGTTATTCTAATATATATGCATTTTCTATTTAGATATAAATAAAGGTGGCAAAGTAATGAGAACACCGTTTGACAAACTTAGACCTCCAAATATCTTGGAATTGATTCCTAAGCCTCAGGGCCTGGAGGCCCAAAACCAATTTCTAAAAGGGGAGACAGCACTTCCATACCAGGTGGACAGAAAGTGTTTGAGGCAAAAGAGGAGCGGGGCTGCTTTTTTACGGCTTCAACACCAGAAGGTGTTCAGTCGGGTCTCTTAAGGGACATTCTTCCTGTCCCTTTGGGCTGAGGCTGGAATGATTCTGCTGAGTGTGAAAAGCCTCTTCACTTTCCTTGGCTTCCCAAGCAGTTTGGCTGCTTTGAGTCCCCAAGATGGAATGTGGCCTCCTTGATGGAAATCCCTTTCGCCCCTTCCTCAGGCAGTTGGCACTATCACCCACCCATGGAAGAATGAGCAGCAGACCAGAGAGACTGGCTGACCAGAGGTTTTCAGCTCCCTCTTACTTCATCCCAGGGAGGCCAGATAAAAAGGTGACACCACAAAATGCAGAAGAGCTTCCACATTCATGCAGAGCAGAGTTTGTCGCATTCCTCTAGAAAAGCCTCTCCACCACCCCTGTGGTCAGGGGGAACATACCGCTGTGAGCCCAGCTGCCCCACGGCCTCTTTTGCAGAATCACAGGGGGTGTGAGTGTGTGTGTCTTTCTCCCCACTTATAACACAGAGCCAAGCAGGGCCGAGGATGGCTGCTCTGGCACAATAGTTGCTGGGCTCCCACGGCAGGTGGATCCTGCTTCCCTTCAAACAAGCTTCCCACCACAACAGCCAGCAGCCCACATGCACGGAAGGCGGGGGAGGGGGGAGAAGAATCAGGGAAGTCTGGAAATAGCCAAGCAGAGTCGAGAAATCGACCAAGCGTTTGGGGAGCAAAGGCTGAGATTCTGATGTCTTGCTTGGCAGCAAAAATACTGAGGCTAACAAACAAGTTCAAACCAACTCAGAGGCGGGCTGAGTAAATAGCTGGAAGTCACCTGATTTGTTTTGCCCTTTCAGAAAGGTGAAAGTGCCCCATTTTTGAAAATGGGGATCCAAGCATATGCTATGACTTGGCCCATTCTGCATTCACCGGCACTCTTGGGAATCACAGAGATGCTGCTGCCTCTGGGACCAGAGGGTGGATCTCAGCATTGGTCCTCCCCAGAGAGGAGAGCCGGACCAGACAGAGGAGCAGGAGGAGGAGGAGGAGAGGGGCTGGTGAGGATTATGCACAGGCCCGAAATGAAACCCAGCGTGGATCCTTTTATTATATGTGCCTTAGTACACAGAAGAGTATGTACTTTTCTATTATACTTAACACTGACTGCATAGAGCCATGATGTCTGTTCTTGAGGCACATTCTCGCTGGCTGAGTCTAACTGCCGAAAAGATTTCCAGGCGAGACCCGCATTTGCGTTCCTGCTTGAAAACTCTCTCTGCAGAAGCTCTGGGGGGGTCCCTGGCCTGCAATGCGGAGGCCACAGTCAGTTGGTAAGGCAGGCAACGGTTCTTCCCAAGGAGAGAACGCGAGCCGGCAACAATGACAACCAGAGACAAGAGGGATAGACGACCTCTTGGCAGGCCAAGGGACTCTAAGGGGGGAAAACCAGCCTTACAAGGAGAAGTGGAGGCCTGAAGAGCTAAAAGGCTGGAGCCCTCCAGAAGACAAAGAGAAGAGCTGCAGTACAGGTAGTCCTTAACCATTCGTTTAGTGGCCTCTGAAGTTATAACAGCACTTTTCACAACCATTGCAGCACCCGCACAGTCACATGATCAAAATCAAGTGGATTCTCTAGACCCTGTTTAGCATGTAGGAAACAGGCTAATAGAACAAAATTTAACAGAACCAAGTTTAGGAAACAGACACAGAACACTGAATACCCAGTTTGGGCAGTAATACTTGTGAAAAGGTTTTAATTGAGCCCCATCTGAACTGACTACATACTGAAAGTGGCTTTCACTGGAACGCTGGGATGTAAAGGAAAATGAGGGGGCCAAAAAGCCACAATGCTTAGACACTATTAAAATCGATTCCAGCTCGGGCATAAAACAGTTGAAAGAAGCCACCCAACACTGGAAAATGTAGAGAGCTGGTCCATGACATCGCTGAAAATCGGACCCAATTGAACAGAAAGCAACTTTATAAGCTGGATAGGGAGCAGCAGCATGATATGGTTGCAAAACTACAGGAGGTTTTTGATCTCTCACACCAGGATTCAGAGAAACTGGAACAGGTTCAAAGAAGCGCAGCTAGGAAGATTGGGGATTAGAAACAAATTCCCTTGAACAGCGACTGAAGGATTTGAGCATGTTCGGACCTGCACAAACAGAAGACTAAGAGGGACCAAGAAGGATGATGTAGACGGTCCAAAGTTGTTTGTTATCATTCCAGAGTGCAGCACATAAAGCAATGCATTTAAGTTACCAGAAAGACAGATTCCAACTGCACGTCAACAAAAGCTTCCTACTGGTGCTGTGGAGCCAAGGGCCAAAGCCGGAGTGGGGGCTTCGCTGAAAGGAAACGTCAAGGTCATTTGTTGGTGTCAGCCTGGCCATCCTCACTTTCCTTCAAGCTTGCTGCCAGCTGCTATGGAAACAGGGAGGGAGGGAGGGAGGGAGCAATGGGCATTTGGGAGGGGAAGCATGCAAGTGGCGTGAGAGTGGATGGGGAAGTTTGGACTCAGAGAGGCCAGCTTGGGTTGCTTAACATCTTCAAGGCCAACCGTCTTGGAAACGGCATGCATGATGGCAGCGCAGAGCACCTGGACTTGAGACTTTCCCAAAACAACTTCCTGGCCAATGATTGGACTCTGTCTGCCTGACTACTGGGGTGGTGGGATCTGGGGTTAGTTTCAATTTATTTTTTTCGTGCCTGTTTGCTTCAGACCTTGCCTGACTTTTGCTATATTCAGTTTCTTCTTAGTAAAAGTACCTTTTCTCTGACTCTATGGAGTCAAGGGTTTTCTTTCCTAGGAACAAAGGCAGCCCTGACGGTTGGACACCTCCAAGTGGGACAGAATCCTGTATTTCCCGACTCCAAGCCACCCACCACCCAGGGTAAAAGGCGAAGCAAATGAGTGTGACAACTTGTAGCCCCTGAATTGGCCAAGTACCACCTGCGCTAAACCTGTGTTAGGGCACCCAAGTAGTAGGTTTGGCTGATCTACTTCCGTGCAATTTCTCCTAAGTATGTGCAGATGTGTCCCTCCCAAAGACAGACAGTTTGGTCTAGTGGTGGGGGCATGAGGCTAGAAACCAGGAAACAGTGAGTTCTAATCCCACCTTGGGTCCAAAGCCAGCAGGCTAATCTTGGGTCGGCCCCTCCCTCTCGGGCTCAGGAAGGAGACAATGGCAAACCACTTCTGAGAAGCCTTGCTAAGAAAACTGCTGGGACTTGTCAGTTGGCCACCAGGAGAGATCGGCATCAACTGATTCGAGCACAAAAAAGCCAAAGCAAAGCAAAACCTTCACAATGACAATGCAGGGCAGGAGTATTGGAAATATTTGGCATCTCAAAAGATGACTCATTTCAGTCTGCAACCTTCAGCTGCAGCAACAGGAGTGTATCTTCCAAACCAGAAGTCAGGGATCCATTTCATCCAGCTTTGGTTATATCCACTTTCTGCAGCAAATCCAGTTCTGGGCACCACACTTCAAGAAGGATTTAGTAAAATTGGAGGGAATACAGAGAAGGGCAAGGAGGGTGTCCATCAAATAAGAAGCCAGATCCTATGAAGAGATCTTGAGAGGAGGAGGCTGAGTGGAGACAATGTCCTGAAAGGATGTCACACAAATTCAAGACTGGTTCTATCTCGTATCAAGAGGGCAAGACCCAGAATAACAGGTTCGAGTAAGAAGGAGGCAGATTTAAGTTAAAGTTCACCACGTAAGTGGCCTTGAGTTGTGATGAATTATAAGTGCACCAGCATGCCTACCATCCCTGTCCTACTGTCCCCATTTATTTCATGTGCTCATGTCCATGTTTATACTTATACTTGTTATCTTGTACATGTTTGACAAACTAAATAAATAAACTAAATAAATAAGAAATGTTTTAATCTGCATATGTAAAAGTAAATAAAGGTTTAAAAATTCCCAATAAAGACAAGTTGGATTGTGGAACCAATAATGACTCAGAGAACTGGCGGGTTCTTCTTCAGACTAGAGACCCAGCAGGAAGTCTGGATTTTTTGTGTCTGGCATGATGGTCCCTTTGATCTATAGGGTCCTATAATGCTGCATTTAGGTCAATGAAATGAGTGTATTCACTGGATTTGCCAAGAGGGAAGAAAAAAAGCAATTTATACAAATGGGGCTCTTGAAGCATCTCTGCTTTCTTCACGTGGCCAACTACAATATAAGATCTCAGCTAAATAATGGTCCCTTCCTGGAAGAGTTGTGGTAATCCCCAGGGCGAGGGGAAGGCGAGGGCTTCTCTTTGAAGGAGAACCAAGGTGGAACTAGAGTCAGATCCCTGGGAACCTCAAGGGATCCAGCTATGATGGCCCCTCATTTGAGGTTTTCTTTCATTTCAGGCCCAGCTGGGTGGGATGGCGAAGGAAGAGATCACAAAGCAAAGGAGGAGGAAGGGAGGAAGCTGGGTTGGCAACATTTGACTTACCAAGTAGCTCTACAGAGGAATGTGGGAAAGAAAAAAAGAGGAGAAAGACAAGAATGTGTGAAAGAAGGCAGGTACACAGATCCCCATCCCCTTGCCCAAACCCCTTTGCCTCTTACAAAATAAATGCTTTCCCCCAGGAAGGCACCCACATTACTGCAACCTGTCCCTCTCAGTGCTTAGCTTTTCGATCACATCTGGATGGAACATGAGATTCCCCTGAGCAGAGGACCGGCGCGAGGGCCTTGCAGGAGCGCAGAGCAAAATCGGAGAATGCCCCAAAGCGCCACCCTGAGCACATTTCAGGTCCCAGATAATCTTCAAAGGAAGGCTCCTCCTCCTCCTCCCCCCTCCCCAGAAAGTACCAGATGCAGAACCTTCTGGAAACATCTGCTCCTTTCCACCCCAATCCAGAGGAAGCCAACGGACAGGTGCTCAGATGCCTCTCCCTCTCCTTTGGCTTGTAGCCCTCCTGCCAGCTGGGTCTCGATAGCTTCCAATCCTGTGCTCCTTCCAGAGTGCCATGGCCAGGAAGGCCAATGATAAACACTGGGAAGAGGGAAGGTGGCTTCTAGGTGTTATTGTCAACCATCTTTCTGACATCCTAGATGTCAGCTGCCACCCAGGCCTTCTAGCTTTCAACCAACAGCAGCTGAAATCTCTCAAGGATGCAAGTTCCAATTAATGCTGCACTTTTCCTGTCCTGCGGGGTGTAGGTCCAGCTCGACTAGCCTGGCTGCTGTCTCTGCACATCACCTCTTCTATGGAGATGCCAAATGGCTTCTCTTCACTTCCTCAATGTCACCCAATGTTCCTTCCACATCCTCAGATCCTCACCTTTGCGGGCTTTCTTCTGAAGTTTCAGTGTGTCAGAAGACTTCTTCTTTATCTCATGGCGGGCTCGTTTGTACTCTGAAGAGGCAGGAAAGAGGCCACCATGAAGCTCCTGCCTCGGCTGCCCTCTCCCCTCTGTGGCCAACACCACAGCCACAGACTTTCCCAGGAGCAGAAGGCAAGCACCGAGGGCCACAACTTTCCCCCATTCCCAGTCATTGCAGATAACTGGGAATGGGAGCCCCTGCATGGCCCGAGCCCCTGGCAGCTCTACCTTTTGCATGGTCCTTGTCGAGCTGGTTGGCAGTCTTCTTCCAGTCCTCTATCCTCTCCTGCAGGGGGTTGATCAGGCTTTCCATGAGGGCACTGCAGCCACAGAGAAAGGAGGAAGTGAGAGGCAGCTTCCCCTGGCCAGGGCCGAGAAGAGCAGCGGAGCAGCTACCCCTTCTCTTGAAGCAGTCCCAGGAGGGGGAGAAGGATAAGGAAGCCTCCAGCTACCGAAAGTCACCTTTCTCTTTTTTTGCCCTACACAAAGTGGGCCTGTGTGTGTGTGTGAGAGAGAGAGGGAGGGAGGGAGGGAGGGAGGGAGGGAGGGAGGGAGAGGGAAAGGAAAAATGCTGCCTTGCCAAGTGACACCTTCTGGAACCAAGCAGACCCTCCACATTCCTCATCCCCTTCCACTGGCCATCAAGCCCTTCTGGATGCAGGGCTAAAGGGAAGGGTTCAGAATGGGCCCAGCAAAAGCTTTCTAGAACCAGCACGCTCTGCGTTTCTGATCCTGATGCCAGCAGAGGACGGGCACTCATTGCCTGCTGACGTGCCAGTTGGGCTACTGAGCGGTCCAGTGGATCTCCCCAACTCCCCAGGTTGCAGGTTTTGTGAGCACCTCTACTCTGCATGTCAGAAAAATGGCCAGGACTCCCATCAATAGGGAAAGGGGGGATGGAGGGGGATTACACATTTTAGACCCGCCTAGAGTATGAGAAGAGTCCCCCTGGCCCGGGGGAATTGGCCACAGAGGAGAGGGAGCAAGACTGGCCCAGAAAGGGGCCGCCTGCTACAGAAGGCCCTCCTTCAGTCCCCCGCCTTGCAAGTCCACTGCTCCCCTTTCTGTCTCTGGGCCTGGAATTGCAACTGAGCAGCACAAGAGAACACTTACTTGGTGAAGTGCCTCAGCTTGGTCTCGATGCTGCGGTGGCGCATGCACATCCGGGTCAGTGCTGATCCGATATCCCTTGTGGCTCCTAGAGAGAAAAGGGATTCCTTAGTGATTAACTGGCAAAGGCCCGGAGCAAAAGATCTTTCCTGCAGCCCCATTGGGGAAAAACTGAAGAGACAAGAGATGGACCTGCAAAGCCATCGTCACTAGGTCAGCCCACCCAGGGCCTCCTGGAAGGCATGGTCCAAAGGCCTCCACAAGCGGCAGGCTGGAAACCTTGGTGGCATCTCCCAGAGCCCCCAAGGCCGGCCATCAGTTCAGAGTCACGATGTTCTCTGGCAGTGGCACAACGGAGCAGCCGCCATCTTACCTTCAAGGATTTTCTGTTCTCTGATCAATTCCACCACCCAGGATTTCACCAACCTTATCTGGTCAATGCTATTAACACCCCCCCTGTTCCCCCCTCCCCCCCAGGGAAAATAGCCAGCTGGAAGTCCTCTCCTTGTGACAACAGCAGTCATGCCACAAGGAGGCTCAAGGGCCAGGAAGAACGAAATGGGAGGAAGCCCCCCTTCCCTGGCTTAGATGTTCCTGGTGGAGACCTCTCTCCGGGCTGTCGCAAAGCCCAGCAGAGTCCCAGCCACTCTGCAAAACATTGGGCTCCATCACTGCTCAGAGCACATGCTCACATCACCACCACCTCGAGCCTCTCTGGGATCCCAGCTACAAAACTGAATGAATGAACACGCAAAGAGTTTACGTAATGAAAGAAAAGAGACAGAAGAGAGGAAGAAGGGCTGACAACCCCTATCACTTTGGTATAGGTGGGGCATGGTCTGTGGGGCAGACTGCTTGGGAGCGGATGGTCTGTTCAGAGCCTGAGAATCAGAAGTGGCTGGAAAACCCTGGACACTGTGCATTTCTGAGTTATTTGTTCAAAGAGAATCAGCTAGGAAAAAATGGAAAAAGACTCTTGAGGTAAATCTGACTCTAAAATTGAAGACCCCAATTGCCAATACTTTTTGTCAACCTTCTTCTATTCCCTTTCAATAAATCTGCTTAAAGAAACTCACCGAGGTCCTAATTTGCTTCACCTCACGGAGGCAACCTGTCCTTCAGCCAGCAGAGCTTCAGTGGAAGCCTTTGAGGCCCTATGGGGACCTCCTCTGGCTATGGGACTGGAATAGACAATCTGCACAGTCAACGGCCTCAGATTTTATGAATTCCTCCATAGGAAACTTCACACACTTAGAATTTCCTCACCTGCCCAGACCCCTAGGAGCTGGAGGGTTGGGGGGTCACACTGAGGGAGAAACAGAGTTGGCCAAAAGCGGCCGGAGAATGTGGGAGAGGTCAAGCCTCTGCTCTGCAGGCATCTTCTCTCTATCTCCAGGCTCTGGAGGATTTCCCAGAGCCATACAGGCATCTGGGAGGGGCTTCTCTGGGCCTTCCCTCCCCTCCCCCCCCCAGAGACACTTCCCACAAGCACCCACCTTCCCTCAGGTGACCCAACGTAACCATCACCCTGAGACCAGCTCCCTCCCTGATTTCTGAAGGGTCTCCTGGAGTTAAAGATGAAAGAAACACAACGATGCCCACCTACCCTGAATGGAGGTTTTGACATCTCTCTGACTGGTGATGTCAAAGTCCCCCTCTATCCAGAAGTGCAGCCGGGCTCTTCGTGGGGGTTACTTTTTGTCTCCAGCTCCCTTGCCCTTCTGCCCTCTCTTCCAAAGGGCTACAACCCTCCCAGCCCCTCTCCTAGATCCCCTGGCAGGGAAGCCCACCAAAACCAGGGTGGTGATTCAAACATACCATGCACTGGTTTGGCTGTAATTGTGATTTTAAAAACTGGGGAGCAGGAGTGTTAAAGACAACATATGGAGGGATATACGAGAAAGTAACCCCACCCTGCTCCCTCTATGGATCTTCCTCTTGATGACTCCTTGGCCTTTTTTAAAAGATCCCTGCCTTCAACCTCCTTTCTGGCTGAGATCAGATGAATGCACACCCATACAACCTGTTCAGAGCATCCTGTTTTACACACACAATATCTTCATTGGTGCATGGGGAGGGAAGGACAAATCCTGCAGCAGAAATCCATTCTCTGCAGCAGCAGCAGAACCCAGAGAGTCTCCAGTTCCTCATCCCCAGACAATCTGCAATCCAGACTGAAATTCACCAGCAATCAACCCTTTCTAGGCATGCCACTTCTCTCCATTCTGGGGACTCAAACAGGGAAAAAGAGCCCTGAAATTTCCATTTTTCAGGCGGAAGCTTCTCCAGGAACCAAAGCACCAGACCAAAAATAAAAACAGAAATGTGGGTGCTTCTCACACTGGGAACCCCAGCCACACAATGGATGGACCAAACATGGATCGTGCCAGTCTGTGAGCTGGAGGGGCCTTGGGTGGCCTCAGGTAAGAGCCCCAATTAAAAGGGAGGCAGCTGCTTGCTCCCTCTTGGGAAGATGATCTTCCTGGGCCAGGTCCAAATTCACAGAGTGGTGCCAGAAGGAGAGGGATTCCCAGAACTGGGCCCAGCTGGGGTTGGATCAACGAAACCCCCCTCCAAGCCCTGGAAGGGGCTTCCCAGGGGGTACACCATTTTGCCTCCCCAAAGCTCCCCATATCTCCTTACCTCTGGTGTTGGTGGCCATGTCTGCCACTCTCTGGAAGGCCTCCAGGAAAGCCACTGCAGCCAATATGGTGGTCCTAGGAAGAAAGAGGGACTCAGATCGAGAGGGGAGCCTTTGCGGGAGAATGGAGTGACAAGACACGGGAGCCTCAGGCCGGGGAAAGCTGCAGGGCATGAGGAAGGCAACCTTGGCAGAGAGAGACAAACCCTAACCCTAACCCTTTTCCTGGGCAAAAGGAGGCTGAAGCTTCCTGAAGTCCAGAGCAGGGAAATAATCTTCAGAAGGGGCTCAGGCAGACCCTTCCCTAATTGTCTGGGGTAGAAGACGGAAAAGAGAGCACCGCAAAACAAGACTTGTGAAATTCTTTTATTATAGCCAATCTCAATGAAGTTAGATTTAGATGACTTGCTGAGTTGATTTCCTGGGTGGGCTCATTCCTCTCGCCAACCCAAACACCCACCAAACTGCCTTCAGCCAGACTTTCCCTAGGAAAGAAAATAAAATGTGCCTGCTGGCCTGGAAAGGCTCCTTACATCAAAAGTGTGGAGAACTTCAGCATGGCACAAACCAAGGCAACATACAATCGGGTCACGTGAAACAGGAAGACAGGGCTTATCGCAAACGGGTGAAGATCTTCTCAGGGCTCCTCCCCTTTCTCTAGGGTGGCAGGGGAGGGGCAAGACGAGGCGACTCCAGCTATTGAGATCTTCCAGTCCAAATCATCGAATTGCGCTGAGCTGGAGCAGAGACGGGCATCATCTGCACACTAAGGACCCCTCAGCCAATCATATCCAGGGTGTTTAGATGGGTGCATGAAAACATGGAATTATGAACCACACCTACGTTCTCCTCCACTTCCTTCCCCATCTTCAATACGCTTTCTGTATCTTTCTGTATCTGAAAGAGAGATCGACTCCTGGCAGGCATTTCACAAGCAGAGGCATCTATCTAGCACGCACTCTTTCCATTCGCTTCTTTTCTTCGCTGTGCAGGGACATAAACGTGGAGGCAGCGTTTGGAGGAACCAATCACCCCAAAGGATGCAGCTGCTTTAATGCTTTGAGGAGAGGTGCTTCTTTTTCACACTAAGGTACTTCACAAAGTATCTTTTTTGAAAGCTATGCACAGCCTTAGCAGACACTCTCCTGTTTCTTCTTGTTCCTTTCTTAGACGTAAAGGTAGCCAAATGCACATTGTTGACTGTGAGGGGAAGTTTGTTACAAGTTCCTCCTTAAAATTCTCTGCCAAACTGCAGTCCAAACTCCAGCCAGCTCTTTGTTCACTTTTCTGTTTCCTGGAAACTAGCTACTTTATATTCTTCGCTACAACAGGCTCTGTGAAAAAGGACTCACCAAACGGCTTTTAGGATGCATCCCTTGTATCATCACCCTCTATACTACACAAGATATGCATTCCCTCAAAATGTACAGCTCTTCTGGTAAATTTCTTCTTTTCCTCCTGACAGCCAAACCCATTAGCAGATGCAGTGTGGAAGGCAACCTTGTGGCATTCCATTATGCAATAACCTTGGCTTGGACTAAAATGATAATCTGCCAAAAGCAGCGACTACTAACACTTCAGAGAAAAGATCTGAACCTCCTCAAAAAAATGCAGAGGTTAATTTTTAAGATATTGTTTGTTTGTTAAATTTACTTGCTAAACGGAAATAAAATAACAGTTATCATGCTTGAAGGTATTAAAAAATAGCTCAGTAGTAATTTTAGCTCCAGGCCAGGCCAGGCCAAACCAGATTGAAGAGTGAATAACTAGTCTCACCAACCTGAAGCCACTTACAGGCGCTGCTTCTCCTCTGGCCACTTTCTAGCTCAGGGCTTGTTTCTTTTATTCTTTTATTCTTTTAATTTAATTTAATTTATTTATTTATTTTGTCAAGCAAGTATTAGAGAACAGATATAAGTATAAACATGATTATGAATACATTAAATGGATACGAATAAAAGGGAACATTACGACGGGAATGGTAGGCACGCTGGTGATCTTATGCACGTCCCTTACAGACCTCTTAGAAATGGGGTGAGGTCAACAGTAGACAGTCTTAGGTTAAAGTTTTGGGGGTTTGGGGAAGAAACCACAGAGTCAGGTAGTGCATTCCAGGCATTGACCACTCTGTTGCTGAAGTTGTATTTTCTGCAATCAAGTTTGGAGTGGTTTACCTTGAGTTTGTATCGATTGTGTGCTTGTGTGTTGTTGCGGTTGAAGCTGAAGTATTCATTGACAGGTAGGACCTTGTAGCAGATAATTTTATGTACTATGTTTAGGTTGGACCAAAGACGACAAAGTTCTAAGTTGTCTAAGCACAAAATTTCAAGTCTGGTGGCATAAGGTATTCTGTTGTGAGCAGAGAAGTGGAGGACTTCTTGTGAAATATCTCTGTACTCGTTTGATTGTATTAATGTCTGATATGCAGTGCAGGTTCCAGATAGATGAGCTGTATTCAAGAATTGTATGCCTTAGTTTGCAGTTCAATAGTATCAGAGAAGAAGCTACGCAAGATTAGGTTAACAACTCTTAATGCTTTTTTGGTAATGCTGTTAGTGAGCTCTGGCACTTACACTAGATCTTTGAAATGAGTACTCCAAGTTCCTTGACAGAGTGAGGGTCGTCTATGAGGTCGTATCCACCCAGCTTGTATTTTGTGTTCTGATTTTTTTTTTTTTGCCAATGTGTAAGACAGAGCATTTGTTGGTTGAGATTTGGAGTTGCCAACAGTTTGACCATTCAAGTCAAGATCTTTTTGTAGGGTAGCAGCATTGTTGGTGGTATTGAATAGTTTTATATCATCAGCAAAGACAATGCAGTTGCTTATAATATGATCGCAAAGATCATTTATTTATTTATTTAGTGTGGGTCCTAAAACATTGCCTTGGGGGACACCGCTGTTAACAGGTGCAGGGTTTGATAAGGCGTTCCCTATTTTGACTACCTGTTGCCTGTTTTTTTTTTTTTATTGAAAAAGTTTTCAAATACAAATTTTTCACCCTTTTTTTCCCCCTCTCCCTCCCCCTCCCTAACCCCCCTCCCCACCCATCCCCCCCGTGACTTTTTCAAAACAAAAAAAAAAAACCTAATTCATAACAGATTACTTACTCCCTCCTCTAGATATTGACCTTTACTTACTAAAAATATTATTAATATTATAACATCCCCCTTTATCCATACATTTCAGAAAAGAGAAAAGAAAGGAGAAAAAAAAAGACATTATACTATAACATTATAGAATAACTTCTCCACTTTAAAACTATACGATAAGTCCTACTTTAACATTTAATCTTCTATATATGTTACTATAACATTTCAAAGCGGCCTTCCCCATAAAATCTAGTTTAACATTTATTCCACTCTATCCATTTCCTCCACTCCCCTAAATATATCACTTAAAAATCCCTTTTCTTAGACTAATCAATCTACTAACTAGCTTATTCACCCACTATCATACAAAATTACCATACACAACATTTCTTAATATCTTTAATTCACTGCCCACACTACTTAAAAATATATGTCTATATTTTCCATTATATCTAAATAAAAAAAAAAGAAAAGACAATGACTTTAAATTTATAATCCATATAGTATCTTCTTTGAGGTCTTTCCACTGGATTGGTAGAACCAACATCCATAATCGGGTAACATAGCTTGCTGGTGCAACAGTTTATTCAGGATCTTCAATCATATCTGCCCCCATCAGTAGTAAATATCTTCTTATATGTATAAAAGTAAAAACAACCACCCGAGTGACATTATAATTATATTCCATATAGTAATAATTGTGGGTTTCATCAGGATTATTAATTCCCATCATCGTAGTGGGTAACAACCCGATCTTCTGCATGCCCCAGCATCATTCTCTTGCCTTGTGATTCAAGATAATATAATATGTTTATCAACACAAAGAGAAATTCCAAAATGGATAATTCAAATCCATCAGTTTAAGGCTCGTTTCACGTCCCCAAATTACGGCCATGCAGAGATCTGCCACAATCCTCAGGATGATATTAACCAATACGTCGCCTCTTCTGTGTTTACACATAATCATTCATATTTTAAAGTCACTGGCTTCACTGTTGCCTAATTTAAAAATTTCTATTTTTATGCCACCTATTTCTCTTTTTCTTTTCTTTTTGTGGGTTTGGTTTCCATCCTGGTTTCCTTTCTACAAATTGTGTATCATCTGGTCGGTTTTTATTCTGCTTTGTAGATTGGTCTTGTTGGTTTTGTTTTTGTATCTCATGTTTCTTTTTTATCCCTTGTATATCCCCTAGTAGGTTTCCATGCTTATCCTTGCCTTGATAAGTCATCACATTAAAATTAGATGCCACTTCTCTCAAATTTGTAGATAGTCCAGCTGGGGTATCCAATAAATCCAAAGGCAATTCATCTGGTACAGTCTCTATAATTCAATATTTTACCTTTATTTCCGGCTCCTTCTGCTTATCCTGTATTATACCTGCAGATGTTAAGTTCATTTTCAACCTATTTTGATAAAATTCTTCAGCTCTTTCAACAGTATTTAGCTGATATCTTTCTCCTTGGTATCTAAATATAATACCAACTGGGGCGTCCCACCTGAATGAAATATTTCTCTTTTTTAACTCATTCACCAGAAAACCAAATTTCTTCCTTTCCATCAATATCTTAGGTGGGAGTTCCTTGTAAATCCAAATCTTTCTTCCATACAATTGCAAATTAGAATTGAAGGAATTTTGCACGATATTATTCCTAATTTCCTTATCTGTAAAATAAATCACCACGTCTCTAGGCAATTGCCTTTGCTTGGCAATCCAGGAGTTGATTCGATAAACTCTGTCAATCCTACAAAACACTTCGTCAGGTTGAACCTTTAGAATCCCAGCTAGAAATTCAGAAGATATTTTCCTTAAATCATCTCTATTATTTTCCTGCAAACCTCTTAATCTTATCGCATATTCTGTGAAATTATATTGTACCATTAAAATCTCTTTTTCAATCTTCTGTTGCAGATTTTCTGCATTACCATACTTTTGATCAGCATCCATTTTAGGTTTTTCTTCTAAGCTATTATCCTGAGTGTTTATC